CACACAACTGCATAATAAAGAAGCAAGTATAAACTACATGTTAGCTGCATAAGCGTATGGGCCAAAGTGGCGAAGTAAAGTGACGGTGGACACATGTGTATGTATAGATACTCTCTTTTTGTTTTGTTTAATTAAGCTTTGTAAAATTGTTGTGACCTCACCAAACATCAGAACGTCAAAGACACTAGGCTCACTGGCTACCTGCTAACTACTATCCATAATGCAAAGTTTGTGTAAGCTCTCAAAACAAGATTACTCAAAACAAAGGCAGGTTGCTCACCCATCATCTGTACTTCAGTTAGCAGGTCGGGAAAACCTGATAATGGGTGAGCAACCTTCCTTTGTTTTTATCCGCAGCGCACGTTTCGGTTGAAAGAAACACCACTAAAACAAAGTTTTGCACAACTTTGCGGTTTTTAATGTTTGATAAACGTATGAATGTAAATCAGATCAGCTCCAAACAAGTTTTCAATATTTGTTTCTAATAACTATATTTCAAAATCTCTATGGGGATTTAGAACAGCAGGATTTTACTTTCAGAAACATTACGCTCCACCCATTTCACAGCCTCATAGCTTGAGTGGAGCACAGAAAGATGTTCCTTGAATTATAGATTTAAGTTATGCATTTATGTGATATATTAATGGAATGAACCATCAGCATATTTATTCCATTACTGAGGGCAATTAAGAGAGGTTCACAACGTGATCATGTATTTTGGAATCTTTTTGGAGAAAACCTGCCTGGAGTATGTCTGGAATATATCATGGATTAAACATAAGAAGCCCTAGAGAGGTGTATGTACCACATCTTGTGAAGCCCGCAGATAATCCTGCCTCTCTATTCACTGATCTGCCTTCATCTTGGTGGGAACACTTTCTAACAGTCCAAGTGTTTCTAAAGCAGCGTTTTGCACTTCAATGGTGTGTCTAACGGGGAGCACAACCATCCACCAGTAAATCTCTCTTAACACAGTGTCTGTAGTTTCTGCCTCCACTGCAACGGATCATCATAAAATAAAAATCTCGAGTCAGTCAGAGCTTACACCCATAAAGGCGAGGCTCATATTAAAGACACAGCTGCATCTGGAAACAATTTAAACTAATTTTCCCACAAATGTTGGATCTCTATAATATTGGAGGATGACCGATCTCTTTGGGATTTTGTGATGTCAAATGAACCACAACCTATTGTGACAACACTATTAAGGGTGCATTATGCAACCTTTTATGTGGTAAAGTCTGTATTTTTGCACATTTGTCAGTATGGCAATTTTCCTTAACTGGATGACGGTTGGATCAATTGTTTAGTACTGTAGGTTTCCTGGTGAAAGGTTCCCACAGAGAAAACCATCCAAACATTTGATCCTGTTGCATACTGTGTGATGGAAAGTAAAGATGCCATGCTGACCATTCTCACAGCTGCTGGGTCTACAAAGTCAAATAGGGGGGGAAAAATGCTTATAAAAAGTTGCTTTGAACATGGCAATATGCAAAAATATGCAGGTGATCAGAACCAAATTGTTGTTTCTGTTAAATTTAGGTAAAATCAATTGCATTTCAAACCTAAAGTTATGACATTAAGACAAAACATGAAACCTAAACTCAATACCAGTATGCCATGTCCACAAAGACCAATGAAAGTGACATCCATTTGTAGTTTTACCATAAGAGTAGGAACAAAAAACCCATTTCATTTGTGTTAGTGCAGTGGTCAGCGCAGCGATCGGCGTTTCTCTGCGTCATGAATCCTGAAGCTGAGTGCGGTGTTCAAAGTTGTTGTGTTTCCCCTTTTGCTGCGGCTGACTCATCCACACTTGGAAAAACTGAACTTCCTGCAGGTCCCAACCGGCTGTGAAGAGGATGTAGCACTGATGCAACAACCTGAATATTTCAACTTCTCCCATTTCTGACAATGTGTCACTCATTTGGAAATACTTGTTGTAATTGTTTGATGTTATTGATTTTCACTTCAACTATATTCCATCTTTAAATGTTTATTTCCTGAATATATAGACTGCCTAACTTTTGGCATTTAACACAAGCCAATCCTGAGCATTTGACTTCTCAATGAAAATGACTGGGGTGCAGCAAAGTATTATATTGATAATAAAGTTATCTATCAACTCAGAAACATACTTTGTTTTTGTTTTTAAATAATGTATATTTCTGACCATAGGGCACTGTACTTTTATTTACACTACAATTATTTACTCTACAATCTAATTTAAAGGAGCAATATGTATAAATCTGGCCAAAAGTGGTACTGCAACCTCTCCCACTCTCCCTGACTAAGGTTGCCAGATATGCAGACGAATCCAGCTGGGACCATAATAACTAAAAGCTATAATAACAAAGCCATAATAACAACAAATCTATAACCAACACCTTTTTCACAAAGATAGAAATCCTGGTTTTATTCCTTGTTTTGTCGTTAATGATGTGAGAATTATAACGAGACCTTTTTTAGTCCTGCAGCCAAATGTTACTTATTAGCTCGACATGGTGAGTACTGGCAGCCCAGCTCACAGACTTTCTGATTGGTAAAATGATGGAGGGCGGGACATCGAAATGAAAACAAAAACAAGATTCACGGGCTGTAAGACCAATTTTTTAATTTGCATATCCCTTAATCAGTTAAAGAAGTATTCTGACTGCACATTATTCTGTTGTACAATTATGTTAATGATGGTTTTTGGAATAAACGGATAAATATATAAATAAAGTGTTCGAAAATGGCATGTTTTATGAATGTTTTTTGACAGAGTAGGGCCATTTAATGATGAGTTGACATAAAAATTGTACATAATGCTACTTTAAAACCATTCCTCCTCTTGGTGTGACTACGTCCGGTAAGATTTTCTGGAGAACAGTTAAACCAATTACGAGCCTCAATGATCTGAAACCTCTTTGACTTATCAGGAGTTTGGGGGGGTGAGCTTGGGCGGGTCTAACCAGTGCTTGTCCTCTCAAAGTTACCCTCTATCTCGACAATTTGAAAAGTAACTGGTTTTCACTTTAATTATCTATTTTAGATCATATCTTAAACAAACAATCCTAAAAAAATCTTTTAAACAGAAAAAAATAAATTTTTAGAGCAGTGTTGGCACCAGACAGAAAAAAGTAAAGCATTTTTTGCTGGAATGAGTTGTATGCGGCTAATTTGCAACAGTTTCACATATTTAAAGTAAATTTAAATAAAAAGCTGTAACCAAATATTTTTTTAGTAAGCTAACATTTGATTGATTCACTTTAATTGATGCAAGAATTTCTGCGATTTTATTTTCTATCAAACAGCTGGACTTAAAAGAGCCACATTTTCATGAACTTCATGTGATTGATATTTTATCAGATGTTGTTTTGTTTTCTTCCTGTTTGCAGACACAACCCTTTACTTCCTATTTGTTTGGGATTTCTCAGTTTTTGCTGTTGTGGCTTTTTCTCATGGACTTAACACACAGTCTCTTTAATGTTGCTGAGCTTTCAACTTTGGATCGTCAACTCTTGATGACTCGAGGCTTTGGTCATCATTAGTCGAACTAAAGAAGAAATATGGGGCATTATTTTTTTTAGAAATTAGATATTATAATGAGATTTCTAACTGATCTTATGAAACAATTATGAAGGGTAAAAATGGCTTTCAGACTTACGCCCTATGCTACAATCAGAGGGAAGAGTTGAATTTGTTTTTTTCTTTGTCCTGTGTTGTCTGGGTGAGGGAGGTTTGGATTAATATATAAACATTTTACTTCCTCCAACCTCTTTTCAATCTCTGTGTGCGCTTTTGTTTCTTGTTTCCTGTGAAAATTATGTGTGACGGTTTCTATATAAATTTTTCATTCATTATTCATTCATACCACTATGACAAGACATGTCATCATACTATCACAGGACTTTTAGATTGAAGGGGCAGAAGATAAGGATATTAGCATGGATGTGCTATCTCTGTTTTTGATGAGGAAATAATGTAACACGGACAAAAGTAGTCTCTATATCAAAACGAATTTCTCAAGGTTACATACTGATAAAAAGTCTTTGCAGGAGCTGTATAACCAGCATTAAGCCCCTGACTGGCAAATAGTATTGTTATGAGTCTGTTTGCTTTCTCACCTTTCTCCCGACTCTGCATTATCTGTGCTTCATAAGCCTCTCATGTTTTACAGACGTCTCCGACTTGACTTATTCTCCACATGGCATTTCCAAAACATTCCTGTGAGTGCTCTCTTTTCTTTCAGCTTCATCTCCACATGTTTTTGGCTGCAGCGTGATCGACAGCGACCGTGTGTTTGTTCAAGTTCAGACAGCCAGCGCTTCCATCACTCCTCGCGTTTGTTCCCGTCTTTGTGGAGAGTCTTGTTAGAATCCTTTTGAGAGCTCAGACCTCAGTGTTTAGCATTCAGCCTGCAAGCATAGTCCATCCCTCCATCCAAGAGAAGATGATGGGGCTTTGGTCTTTTTTTGACATGTTGCTTTGTACCTCTTATGAAAACATTCAAACTGAATTCATTTAAAAGATGGGATCATAAGGCCATAAATGAAAGATGGTTTCAGACTTTTCTGTTTTGCGTTTTTGGAGAGTCGATGCTAAACCTTCTGTAAGGGTTTAGCACTTCTGTTTCTATATGCTATCATACACATTTCTCTATGTTTGGACATATTCAAATAATCATACCATATTCCTCAGTGCTTTTATGTGAAACAAACAAAATTGGCGCCCTACAATTTTACACGAGTTAGAGGATTTCTCAAAATAAATGTTAAAAAGATATAGGGAAAGGTTTTGTTGGAAGGCATGTTGCTGTATAAGGAGGGTCCTGTGTACTTTGGTGCTTAAATGGTCAACCTTTTTATTAGAGCCACAGTTAAAAAGTAGATTTTTTTTTGTTATTTTCAAAATGGTATTGAATTTACACAAATGTCTTTTTAAAGATTTTGTAATTGTAATGCCTTTTAAAATGACTTAAAACGTTCAATTGTTTTCTCTTGGCAGGATCTCCAGCCATGATCGAGGACAAAGGCCACCGCGTTACAGATTACTTTGTGGTGGCCGGACTCACAGACAAGTCCACTCCGCTAGAGCAGGACCTGTCCGAGGCCAAGTCCACCGGACCCAAAGCTCCCATCACTGACCTGGCTGTGATCAACCGCTCTGCAGGTACAAACCACCACTTCCTCCATGACAGAATAATTTATTTGCCATTTGCAGTAAAACCACATTGGAATTCATTTGCAAAAGTCTCCAGTGTTCAGAAGACGCTAAATACATGACCTCAACACAGGGTTAGGATGGGTTATAGGGCTGGTGATTAATTTGTGATGTATTCATATCAATCTTTGGTTCACTGAGGACCCACGGCAGGTCTGGAGGTGTCATGCTGATATCAAACAAGCTACAAACAAAGACTGAATAGAAAACTACTTTTATCCACAGGAAGCAATGTTCCTCTATCTTTAATCATTTAAGATTAAATACAAATACAGTTAAATCTCCTTTATTTGCATTTGGCAATAATCAGAACCACACATGCCAAATCAGCTGCAGCAGATTTTATTGTATTTATTTATTGAGGGACAAGTGTACACAATCAACATGTGAAACACTGCAACATTTAGGCAAGATAACACATTGTCCAACACTTCCCAATGTGACTCTGATCCTCTGTTCTGAGTCATGGGGAAAATAGGGATGATAAAGAAATATCCAAAACCGCCTGGTCCTGACGAGTCTGTTAAACAGTATTGTCGTGGCTGATCATCAGTGCTCAAGTCTGGGTCCTGGTACTCGCGTGGCCTGAGTGGAAAAGTGGAAAAGCGTAGATGTTGCGTGAATGTTATGCTGGGTGATCGGCCTGAGCTGCTCATTTGTTGTCATTAGTAATTTTTTTGTTTTAAACACATTTTATTGTTCATTTTGTAATCAATTAACACATTTCAGTATGACCAAACAACATATTTCTCTTGATTTGATTGCGGACTTTGGTATACTACCTAGAGTCAACCTTTTTAAGGTAAAAAACAACAACAACAACAACAAATGAGAAAATTCAGTAATGTTATTTTATGTGATGAACATGGCTTCATTAAATATGATTCCTTATATTGACACTTTAATTAAAGTTCAACGTTTGGACAGGTGGAGCACTCCCTAAATGATCTCGATAATGAAATGTTGATGGAAGTCTAACCGTCTGTTTCCCGCAGGAGAGACAGTCCCTGAAGGCTTCACTTGCATTGACGTCACTCACAGCGGTCAGCCGGCGAACCTGAACCATGGCAGCCTCAAGAGTCCGGAACTGTTCCTCTGCTACAAGAGGGGCAGAGGGAAGCCCCCCCTCATCGACATTGGGTGAGACTCTCTTAATTGGCTTTACTGTAACAGACGTACTCAGAGTTGTTTTTAGCTCCAATCTTCCTAATATCAGGAACCTCTTAATATATTTTTTATAAACAACCTTTTTAAAATGAATGAATATTTGAATATTCAAGAGTTTCCTTCCCTGAATATTTACTGAATATTTGTATCACTGGTTGTATTTGTTGTCACAAAAGTGTTGCATGGTTATAGTAGTAAAAACAACGCTGTCAAAAAACTTGATCTGATGTAAACTCTATGCAAACATCTAAAGCATCTGAGATATTTCCGACTCTGAAAGAGTCAAATATGTTGACACACTACGTGTCTTGGCTTTTGTTAAGAGAAAAGCAGTGACAACAATAGACTTGTCCCTGAGGCTGGACTCTTACAGCTCTCCAGGGGGTTCTCAAAGAGCTCTCGTTTGGATCAAGAATATTTTAATACACTAAAAGGTCATTACTCTGCATTGGGTTAATGAGGAAATATGTTTATATTTTTTCTTTCTTACTTTTTAGACGTAGAAATAATTTCAAAATCCTCATTGGGGCAAGTGTATTGTTTGTTATTTCCCTAAAACCCAATGATAGTTTGGACCTGTGTCATTCATTGCTGCCTGCAGATGGCATAAATGCTGATACCACAGTACAGTATATTTAAAAAACAATTTCCTGCAAACTATTGTTCCGGATTGTTTCAAGTCCTAAAAAAGTTCTTAAGAAACAACGTTTATTCAATCATTTAAGCATTTATTTATAGTTTAGAAAAACTGCAAACCTTTTTCAATCATATCAAGAGTCCTGTACTCCAAACTGTATTTGATTGAAAGTCGCTTCACTCCTCGCACCTGCACACGGGAGGTGGACTCAATGCTGCTAAAGAATCTGGGCAAGAACCCTGAATAAATACATTAAAGAGTTAGGCGTAATTGTTTTATTATTATTTATATATTTTTTCTGATTAATTTCCACACTCATTCCACCTTTTTTATATTAAGAAAAAAATCATGCTTTTATTTAGTCCAATATTTTTTCTTATTTAATCTCCTCGTTCTACATCTTGAGTCCTGGATCTAAAGCCTGTCAGAGGAAGCAAATCCTTTTATCTATATGGGGCTACCTGAGGTTACTCACTTTTTTCTCACTGGGTTTTGTTTGAGTTGCTCAGTGGTGATCATGCAGGACATTTAAGAGGATTCATGGACATTGGTCCTTCCTGTTTCCTTTTGGACCAATGACTCCTATGTGATACAGAAACAATCTTCCTGAAAATGTGAGGCTGGCATCTACTGCAGTTTTCATATCCAGGTTAAAAACAGTTCTGTTTGGCTGTACATACAACTGCAGGATTTTATTTTATTTTATCTCTACAACTGAAGGATTTTATATTAACTCTTTTTAATGCATTTGGCTATTTATTATTTTAATCCCGTGTGGTTTTAATGTTTTAAGATTTTTAATTACTTGATTTTATTCTGTTTTTGATATGTCTTTTTCATGTACAGTATATGTAGATTTTAATGTTTATGATTTGCTTGATATGATGTTGGTTGTGAGGTGCTTTGTGTTGCCTTGTGTAGGAAAGGCGCTATAGATTGATTTGATTGATATTGCATTTCCTGAGTTGTAACTGCTTGATTCTCTGTTCTGTTGTTGGTGCATTGACAAATTTGTAAAGAATTGTGGAGCTCTAGTCGCAGCCCTCATAATCTGTTTGAAATCTGTTGTGACAATAGTTTGTAGAGGTCTTGTTATTGTTTAGGCCCAACTGGGGTTTTCACTTTCAGCAATTCTTACTCTTTTACTTCCTGGTTTAATATTTACAATTTCAACACAACAGTCTGCTACCTGCCCACAGCAGACTCCGCTGTCATTTCTGTGCGATATTTACTGAGTGGAAGAAACCCAATGGAATAGACATGGCTCTTCTGGGCATAAACAAAAGATCAAATGTCTCGTCATGTTTCCTCAAGAGGAGGTGCAATCAGCCAATCACACTCGCTGATGAGAGGGGGAGAGAAGGGAGGCATGCTGGGAATTGTTTAGTTAGAATTCATAATAGCCCTCTGACTAACACACAGTACAAAAGCAAAACCCAGTTAGAATACAGGTACAATTACTTCATGAATGAGGTGGAACATTTGCTCCTACAGCCAAATTTAGATAACACCAATCTCTACCGTATAGCCTCTCTCTCTCTATAGATGTGGGCTGGTGATTAGCAAAGACAAAAACACAGCCTTGTAGTGAGAAAATACACTGGTATGTATAGTATTTATGTAATAATAGGAGGGCATTTACTAAAGCTAGTTGGAGCCAATTTTTTCTTTATATGGGCGATTGTGACAATAACGCCGTAACTGGGGCAGATGCTAATTAATGTGTTGCTAACATGGTTTCTAAGACAAAGGGGGGGTGGCAATGAGAGCTGCCACCCAATGCTCAAAGCACCGGTCCCTCGCTGATCCTCTGCAGGTAGATGGGTGCCACATCCTTGATGTTTCAGCGGGAGCTTCAGGCAATGTGGGGTTGTGCCCAAGGACACAACGACAGGCAGCAGACATTAGTGGTAGCAGTTGGAGTTTGTCCCGTGATGGGCTCGAACCCACGACCTTCCAGCCCAAAGTGACCAACCTAGCTGCTGTCGCCCCTGCACGTATCAATGAATTCCAATTAGGGCTGGGCAATAAATCGAACTTAGGCAATTAATCGGCTTTTGAAAATATCGAATTTGTGAAAAATGTGAAAATTGTGAAATCGAACAAAGAATATTGTGAGTTACAGCAGCACATCAGTTATACTTGCAGTTTTAGCACAGTCTGTACAGGACTTTTATAATACTTATTGGGGGGAAACAAATTACAAATAGTTTTGAAACTTGAATATTGAGCGTCAAAAGATCTACTAATATTTTTAAGGGCAAAGTCTGTCTTTGTTGACTTTAATGAAAATTGATTTAAAATCGAAATCATCCAAAGCAGGAGATAAAAATCAAGATTTTACTTTTTTGCCATTTCGCCCTGCCCTAATACCAATAAGATATAACATTATAAGTTTGTTTTCTGACTGTTAAAAAATAACAAAAGAAATCTGAAAGGTTTACCTCTAGTGGTCTATTTCTTTTGTTATTTTTTTCTTTTTTCAAGATGCAAGACCGAAGTGTTTTCTATGAGTATACAAAAACCATTACAGCTGTGATTGTGGTGGATGTCATCTTTTGTTAGGAGTAAATACACCGACAGCCCCAGAAAAAGTAATTTCCGAGGCGTAGCGCTTTTGATGAAGCACGTAGCGCCTTCACTGATTGCTGACTTGATTTAAACACAGTTGGATTTCACGCTGAGGAGAAAAGAACAGCTCTCTATTTGAACAGTCTACTCCATTCAAGTTCTAACACATGTAACTTATTTCTGATTTTTCCATGGACCGTATGAGCCTTGAATGACTCAGCTAAGTCTGTGTCACATTAAGACAAGTTTATGTAAGAAGTGAAGAATGACCTTGTATGGAGGCCAGAGCTGGTTATAGAGTGGCCACACACTCTTTCGCAATTGTAGTTTCAAGAAAATGCACTACTTTCAAAAGCGTCACTTTGCTTAAAATGTATGTTTTGTGCATTATGGACATTTTGGACGTTATCTGCAGTTTCCATTGTTACATTTCTTTCCAAATCTAAAGCGGCGTTGATGTTATCACGGCACAGGAATGCTTCTTTCTGCACTAGTTTATTGGAGAGTAAATCCTGGCTTGAGAACTGTAGATTTATAAAGAGATTTTAGTAGTAGGTAGTGTTTCTGAGACGTATAATCCACTATAGTTTGTGTTTTTTTGTACAGTATGTAAAATTTGTACGTTCTGGGGACACTTTTATATGTGTTCCCAGATACATATTAAAGAACCCCGACCCTGAAATGGATTAATAAAGTGGCTGAAAATGATTGATGTTTAGCCTGATAACAGGTCACATCAGAGAGCAAAATGAGTATCTTTTGGGTTGGCAGTTTATTCAGACATGCACATTTGCTCCACTTTAAACGAACCAGGATTCGTTTGGAACTCTGATCCGAATCTTTTATGCAGGTCTGAATACACACAAACGAATCCTGGTCCGGACCAAAGAACCGAACCGAGACCCACTTTTTGAGGTGGTCTCGGTCCGCTTCCAAACGAATTCTGGTCCAAGTCGAATCAGGTCTGAATACATCCGGTGTCGACCCGAGACAACTCCAAGATACGTGCGCATTTTTTGGGCTTAACAAGCCGCAGACAGAAACTGAGGAATTAGCCATGCAGCGGCTAACTATGATGCTAACTATGCTGCTAACGCTACACAACAACACTGAGCCGTGTGCAGACCTGGAGCAGTGAGGAGACGCTGTGCAACAGGCTTATGGAGTTAAAACTGTTCACAGTATACATTGATGTTAATGGCAGCATCTTCAAACCATTTGCATTATTAAAAGCCTGACGTGTTTGACTCACGTCTCAAAGAGCAATATTCTGCATCATGTAGTGAATTGTGTTCTTTGGTTCCTACCTGATCCTCAGCGTCTGTTTGTCCCGTGGTTATTATAGATCCATGGTTTATCCACGATGCTGCTGTCAGTAAGTTGTGGAACAGGGTTATCATAGATCCATGTGTGGGACAGGACACGGAGCGCAGACAGTCTCCTTCGGCTTTCTCCTCACGCATTCTCCGACGCTGTTCCAATATTTAAAACAACGTGTTTGGCCTGTGTCATATGAGCTGCTGTTGATGTTGAAGGTGGTTTTGCTCTAAAAAGAGCAAACAGAGGCAGAGCAGACATGCTGCACATACGAGCCCTCAATGTTTTCCTCTGGTTCCGCGTCTATCCTCCGTGAGCTCTCGCTGTCCAATAGGAGCGCCGATCGTCACACGTGTCAATATGTTTATATAAAAAAGTTCACTTGCAAAAAGGACAGTCTGAATACGAACCGGAGCAAAAGAAAAAAGTTTGGTCCGCTTTTGATTCGGATCAAGCAAGTGGAGCAAAGGACTTTTCAGGTCTGAATACACCCTATATATATATTATTTTTTTATTCAGCAAAAATAATTGCACCACATATATTTAAATGAAACCATGTACAAAAACATAACTAATCATACGTGATACAGAGTTTGTACTGTTTCTAGCTAAACCCCAGCTGGTGGATTGCATCATTAATCAACAAACAATAACTTTATGAGACTACTATCTGTGCATATTACATAGTTCCCTTTTAACTTATAAAGCTATAGCATTCTTCTCATGCTGGGGAATAAAAGTGATTTTACTATTAAAAAGTGTAAATTGTATCCAAGATTTTTATTGCAGTACTGTTACTTCTTTGGTGCTATTACTTTCAATGGTAGAGCTGATGATCCGTGAATGTTATGGCTCCTGTGTTGACTCTTGTCATAGTTGCATCATCAGCGAGAGTCTTTTGGCAGCCTGTAGAAGAGACAGCTGAAGTAAGTCATTTTAATGGTCAGACTGTAAATCTTTGTACTACTGTCAAAGGTTTATTGTTGGCTTATAATAGTGTTTCCTTGTGCAATGCAACACTACAATAGTGTCCAGATAGTTTGAAACGTTAGTATTGTGACATCGTAACAACAAAGCTTTAGTGTCTTACTTTTTGGCTTTAAAGAAAACATGTCATGGATTGTATTCTGCCATTCAAAATAATTATTGGCATTTCATGGTTTAGAACTTGAAGCAACAATATCTTACACAGAAAATATATGTCGACTGATATATCAAGGATCTTCTGCCTGTAACTCCTCATGCTACCACCAGATGGAGCTGTGTAAATGTTTTTTGTTTTTTGCAGACGTCATTTAATTTGGGAAATTGTAATCCAAGAGGGATGTCATAGAGGTACAATTAAGTCATATTATTACAGGACTAAGACGGGAGCTTTTGTGCAGAAGAGGCGGAGCTACGTGTTTTTCCCAGAGGTTCCTGATATTGGCGTGGATGGATTTAACAGCTCCAGGGGCATTAATTATCAAACCGGGCGGGAAACTCTTACTAAAAGAGTTTGATGAATCCCAAATATCAGGAACTTTGCCACTGGCCATTACGCTCTGTCAATGCACAGGTTTTTGTGGTTCAATTTTCCATAATATGTTGCCTTAAATCTCTTTGTACATTGGCTTGCAGTAAACTCATAACGTTCTCGTCTCTTTGTCAGGGTGCTCTACGAAGGCAAAGAGCGGCTGATCCAGGGCTGCGAGGTCATCCAGGCCACACCGTACGGACGCTGCGCTAACGTGAACAACAGCTCGGCCACGTCGCAGCGGATCTTCATCACATTCCGGCGCGCGCCTCCCGTGCAACCCCAGAACTCCCTCGCAGTCACCGACATCTGCATCATCGTCACCAGCAAAGGGGAGACGCCACCGCACACCTTCTGCAAAGTGGACAAGAACCTCAACTGTGGCATGGTCAGTAGTGCCAGTCTGTCCATCAATGTGTACGTTTTCAAAGAGCTGGTAGAAACCGGATTGCTCTCCTAATCCAATTTAATATGATTGAGCAAGACTCATGTAAACCTGTGCGCTCAGATTAAGGATTGTAATTCCCGTCCATTTGTCGTGACTGGCTCAAACAGTTCCTATTACTTTTTCCCCAGCATGTAACCACACTGGATCCTATTGTCTCAAGGTCAGCAGATGCATTTAAGAGCACAGAGAAACTCACACATTTTGATAATTTTGGTGAAGTACGCTGTCCCTCATTTTTCATTGTTTTGTGGCGTTCAATTGCGCTGCGGAATTTAAATGACTTGTGCTGCTGCTTTTGCGCCTGCGTAAAACTCAAACGCTTAAAATAAACAAGATGTTGAGTGATTTTCATTTGTCAAAAGTGTTATTATACAGTATTAAGTATTCATTATATATTCATAGGGTTTTATTCACAATGACTGTTCCAAGCTTTGAATTCTAAGGCAAAGTTACGAGATTCCTTTGAAAGCATCACAAGGTTCCATCTCTTCCTCAGTGCGTATTAGGACGTGACCTTATAAGTGGTCCTTAAAGTGGTTGGACAGGTTTTGGAAATTATTCAGTATTCAACAAAACAAATTTTTATTTTTTATATTTTGTTTACAGTGGGGCTCCAGCGTGTTCCTGTGTTACAAGAAGTCGGTGTCTTCAGCCAATTTAATCAGCTTTAAAGCCGGTGAGTACAAGCAAGTAATACATTTTATTTATTGATATTGAGCATAGACTTTGTACAGGTGGACAATGCACTAGCTCAGTGATCCCCAATAGAGTAAAGGGTTCATGGAAATTATGCTCTGGCTCCTATTGACTTACTTTGAAAATATAATTAATGACTACTATAATTGCTGTCGCTAACAAATATAACAAATTAATTACACGCATACACATTTCAATATCATGGTGCTCATCTAATCTAATCGAAGCACTTTTTTATGATTGTTTGAAACATTAATACTTTTTATTATTATTATTATTTTATTACGACAACCCTAAACTTTAGTAATAAATCTACATTGGTTTCTGTTTACAAGGTAACCACCAAAGACACGGCCAAAGATTATTCATTTAATATTGCTTTAACCTCTGGTTGCTTTCAGGCGTTATTATATCCAGTTTTTCATTTTGCTTGTGTCCTTGGCGAAAGTTGGAAATGAAAGAAAGTACTGTTCCAGAGATGCGTTTTAAACTACATTCCAAGAGAGTTAAGAGTTACATGAAAATACATCTTTGCGATACAGGGATTGTGATACTGACAAAACTGAGTCTCTCTATTTCTGACATTCTGATGCAATTTCTCTCCAATCTCATTTATTATTGCCAATTTTAACACTCACTATTCTGAAACTACCCTCAGAGCTGTCATTTGACTGCTCCCAGTAAAAGTAACTCATTTTATAAGGGGTTTACCTTTTACTCACTTTGCTTAACCAGTCCAGGACAAGCACCCTGAAAAAGGGCTTTAAATAAATGGAACAGTCAAAATGTCTGCCCTGTGAGTTGACGGTAAACTACTCATTGCTCAAAAACTAAAAAAATATAATTATATTACTAATATAATAATAATAATTCAAAATGATATATACATCGCAGAAAAAGTCACAGTTCTGAGGACCACAGACATACACAGAGTCATTATGCTTACAAAACTAAAAGCTGCCAAATTGACTGCTCCGAGAGATCCAGTGTTAAAAAGGAATAAGCTGTTGCATACAGTACGCTGTAATTGAATGTATTTCATGTTATGGCTTATTTCCTGACATTTGAATATCACCATCTTTATCAGGGATTGTGCCACTGATTGTCATGTCTCATGTGTTTGTGTGTGTCAGTGCTTCTCCCTGTCGCACAGCCTTTGAAACTTGTCATTGTGCAACTCTCACTCAGTCACTTTCATATTAACATGTGTACACAAACACCCACTTCTTTATCTGCACACTGCCCTTTTTCCTGCAAACCAAACGGTTCATTCATCTGAGGCTCCGCACGCTTCCTGTCACACCTCGGATCCAGCGCCAAGCCTGTGCAGACTTGTGTTCGCAACATTAAGAAACTATTTGCCTTTGTCTTAATGTAATGAATGAGTTAAGTTGTTATAGATGATGCTTTGGTCAAACATTTACATATCCAAATACATTGAAAACTGGACGACTGTGGTAACTATAGTAACAGTATGAGAATTCGAAAGTCCCATTATTACAAAATCCCCCTCTCCACCAGCCCTACTTGGCCCTACTTTACCCTACTCTACTCCACCTGGTTTTGTTTCCATTACGCTTTAGTATCTGGCACTGTATCCTAGCAACCTACCCTGACAGTTAGAAAACGTAGGTACCAGTTCGGCCTGGATAGAACCAGTGCCAAGCAGGTTCTACCTGGTACCGGTTTAACAAGGCCAGTGGAAACACTCCCAATTCTGGGAGAGTAGAGCCGAGTGTGAAGTGGAAGGAAACGGGACTATACACTTAGGAGACATACTCTTTAAACCATTTTACAACATTGTTTCTGATTAGTCACAGACCTGGACGTTTAGATGCATCCACTGTAATATCATGTAACTGTATCCCTTCTGTCTGAAAGCTCCTGACATCACGATCAGAGTTTTCTGCCCTCTAAAGCAACAGTATTGCCTATAAATTAGTTTTGAAAATTATGCTCTCAGCAATCACACGGTAGAAGTTACAACTGGCCAAATAAAGATAAAGTAATTGTATATTCAGTAGAAGATATATGTAAAAGGTCTCATGATCTTCATTGATGGACAAAAATTATGCGTATTATTTAATTGTTTAAATACATTGAAAAGTGGTTGATATATGTGATGTACTAATTGCATGGGTACATTGGAATATTGGGGCAAAAATACCCTGTGTGCACAATGGGAAAAAAAACACAAAAGACACTATATAATAAAAAAAAACATAAAACAACTGACACTGTCAAAGAAGATTTTAAAACATGCATATATTAAAAGCAATAAACTGCAATATAGACCCCTAATCTAGAGGCTATAGATCAGACGTTTTAAACTCGGTCCTCAAATGGCTGGTGTGGCCGCAGGTTTTTATTCCAACCAAGCAGGAGCACACCGGACTCCACCCATTTCAAATGAGTCAAGCCTTAAGCCTAGTTTATACTCGCGCGGCGCGGAGCTTACGGAGGTGACGTGACAGCACTTGCGCAACGCGTTGGTCACCGCAAGGCCCTTAAGTCGCCTGCCGCGCAGCATCGAAATTTTCTAACTACGTAAGGGTCGCCGCAAGGAAGCTCCGCTGTGATTGGTCCGTGTGTGTGTATTGGAAGGAAGCATGAAGCGGCTGCAGCAGGGACATGGACGAGGCACTATGGAGCAGAGAGCTTTGAGCTTAGAAGGAAAAGCAGTTTGGGCTCAGAGCCTGATAAACAGGAGACTGTGGACTATCTAACATATATATAACTTATAAACTGTTCAGTCGTTTGTTTTGCACTGTTGCTGTCTTTGTTTGAATCGTAGCTGCGTTTGTTGCTTTCCTCCTGCACTCGTAAATCGTTCATGTTTGTCTCAGATATTTACCACTATTATTGTTTTGCTGTTTGTGCTGAAAACTATTTAATAATAACTATGTTTCCAACAAGAACTGTCTTTATTCACAGCATCACAGTTGAAATGACTTATAAAATAATGAATCTATAAAACTATCACATAACCCTACAGTAGAAACACGTATAATGAGCTCAAACAGCTTTGTTTGCTATTGTTGTTCTGAAGAGGACAAAGTAGCAGCGTAAATGTGTGATCGCCCTCATGTGGTTTGTTGTGGGATTACAACATTCTCCTCAAAACTCCGTAAGGGGAACGTGCCAGTATAACATCAATTGTGCTTACGTAGGTCCACCCCAACCGCTAACGTAAGCCACGCCGCGCAAGTATACACTAGGCTGCCTGAGACTTTGAGGACCGACTTTGAGGAAGACTTTTAAATACCGTTTCTGCAGATTCATGCTTAAATATTGACGTCTGTAACATCCTAGCCAAAATGATGAAGCTTTTAAGTGCAATTTGCCTTCTTTATTGTCCATATCACATTTCCACTGTCCACTAAGCATTCCAATACATCTTATCCTTCTAATACATGGGCCAACATAACATACCTACATAACCATGAAATCGACAATGTTTGTATATGTTTCCCCTTCCAACCAGGAGATAATGTTAGGTCTGTGAAAGGACCATTTCCTTGAACCATGCCAGTTCACAAATATTGACATGGTTAGACTGGAAAGTACTCCGCAATTAACTTACTTCAAGTTCATTTTAACGTCTTCATTAAGTCTTTTGGGGCGCTACCTGTAAACAAAATTTGTATGGCATGCAGTGTAAATCTGCTTTTAAAACGGTAAGCCTTTTATAGTGGATGATTCTTCCAGGGTTCCAATGTGGATTAAAACTGTGCTTGTCTGTTGGTTTGAAGACCTGAATAAAAGTGTGCTTGTCTCTTGGTTTGAAGGCCTGATCTTTCGCTACCCTGAGGAGGACTACGAATCGTTTCCTTTGTCGGAGTCGGTCCCTCTGTTCTGTTTGCCCATGGGCGCAAAGATCGAGTGTTGGGCTCCAAACACTCGAGACCCCCTCCCGGTTTTCTCCACTTTTGTTTTAACCAATTCCTCTGGTGAAAAGGTAAGTTCAACCCATAAACATTATACACGTTTATAGCAAATCATACTTCAGGTTTGGGAGGAATGTGGGAGTGAAAGTTGACAAATCTCTGTCGTTAACGTAATACAAGGCAAATAACATGTAGCTATAACACTAAAACTCATGGCAAATTAGATAACATACAGTATATATCCAACTGACTTAAAGCTGGGGTACCTAACTTTGAAACCACATCAATGGAACTATGAAATAAAATCCATCAAACTACTTCCTGGCTTTCAAAACAGATTCTATCCCTGTTTTCACAAGCATGTATTTTTGGCCTCTGTCACATATTTAGATCCGCTTTTGCAGATTGAAAAGTGAAAGAAAGGGGACTACCCACAATCAGCTCTCAGACTAAAGAGGCAAACAGTGACTCACAGGGCTGAGCAAAATATGAGAAAAATGTCTACCAAGATGACAGCTTGTCGTGGTCTGAGTTGTTCACAATTTACTTAGCTACTTAGCAATTTACAATTTACTTAGCTCGACTGTATCTGTTCCAACGAGATATAATCAGCTTTGATTATATCTTAGTTCTGCATTTAAAATCCAAGACATGCACAGTAATGAGAGACTGCGTCGCTAGGTGTACGGAGCAGCCATCCAGTTCTACGAGCCGTACCCCGTGGAGTCGCTGAGTGAGAAGCAGAAGATCCAGCTGGGCCTCCTCACCACCGTGGAGAAGAAGGTGATCCCCAACCGAGCGGTCAACACCAACAAGTGCATCTGCCTCCTGTCACGATGGCCCTTCTTCAAGTCCTTCCGCAAATTCCTCATGTTCCTCTACAAGCTGTCTGTGTCGGGCCCCCACCCTCTGCCCATAGAAAAGTAAGTGCATTCATATGGCATTGTCAACCAGCAGCGAAGGTATTAAATAAGAACCTATTCAAAATCAATCTTTTTGGAGCTTTTTACCACATCGCTAATCTCAGAAACAACTCATTCTGTCTAAAAGCCACTTCAGCCGCTTCTAAAAGCCTCTCAGTCTTTTAATATTATAATTTTCTTGTACCACTATGATATTATGATATCACACTGAGCGTTTTCTGCCTTTCTCAAAACATTAGTTTGGGCTATTCCTCAAGTTAAATTGTGTTCTCTACTTTTTCTGCTTGGTTGCAGTAATTCTCAAAGTTTAAAAAACAAAAAACATTCTACAGCTCCCTCTGGTGGTAGCATAGGGAGTTACAGGCGGAAAGGATTATTGTTTCGCCATATGTTTGCATTTATGTTAAGATTTGAATTTACTTTCTAAGACAGAAATAGTAAATCGTCTCATTATGATTTTTATGATGCAATATTTCTTCTTTAATATATATGATGGGGTTTCTGCAGGGCCTTAAGAGAAAAAAAAATCTACTGTAATAATTGCATTGTAGAGCAGCATTAAAGGTATAAAAACAGGCGTGTTTATTGATTGACTGCGGAACCTTCCGCAGTCAACCATTGGTTTTGTATTTCTTTATTCCGTCATTTTTTTTGACACGTTTCACAGCTTTCACATTTTCAACAATTTCCACAAGTTATACATCAAAACGTTCCACATGTTTGGGAGATTATTGCTATTACTTTTGGGACTTCAGCGATTTCCGGTTTTTCCGCAATCGGACAAAAATCTGCATTGAGAATTCTGCAATGCATTTTAATAGGCCCATGCATTTTAATAGGACTTCAGCTCTTTCAGACATTTCTACAGTTTCAATGATTCAACAGTTTCAAGGATTCAACAGTTTCAAGGATTTCAGCAGTTTCAAGATTTCAAGAGTTTCAAGGACTTCAACAGTTTCAAGGACTTCAGCAGTTTCAAGGACTTCAGCAGTTTCAAGGACTTCAGCAGTTTCAAGGACTTCAGTGTAATCATGCAACCTAATAGGGATTTTTCCATGTAAACCAGTATAATGCAACTTAATAGGGATTTTTCCATGTAAACCAGTATAATGCAACTTAATAGGGTTTTTTCATGTAAACCAGTATAATGCAACTTAATAGGGTTTTTTTCATGTAAACCAGTATAATGCAACTTAATGGGGATTTTTCCATGTAAACCAGTATAATGCAACTTAATAGGGGTTTTTACATGTAAACCAGTATAATGCAACTTAATAGGGTTTTTTCCATGTAAACCAGTATAATGCAACTTAATAGGGTTTTTTCCATGTAAACCAGTACAATGCAACTTAATAGGGATTTTTCCATGTAAACCAGTATAATGCAACTTAATGGGGATTTTTCCATGTAAACCAGTATAATGCAACTTAATGGGGATTTTTCCATGTAAACCAGTATTATGCAACTTAATAGGGATTTTTCCATGTAAACCAGTATAATGCAACTTAATAGGGATTTTTCCATGTAAACCAGTATAATGCAACTTAATGGGGATTTTTCCATGTAAACCAGTATTATGCAACTTAATAGGGATTTTTCCATGTAAACCAGTATAATGCAACTTAATAGGGTTTTTTTCATGTAAACCAGTATAATGCAACTTAATAGGGTTTTTACATGTAAACCAGTATAATGGAACTTAATAGGGGTTTTTACATGTAAACCAGTATAATGGAACTTAATAGGGGTTTTTACATGTAAACCAGTATAATGCAACTTAATAAGGATTTTTACATGTAAACCACTATAATGTAACCTAATAGGGGTTTTTACATGTAAACCAGTATAAAGCAACTTAATAGGGATTTGTACATGTAAACCAGTATAATGCAACTTAATAGGGATTTTTCCATGTAAACCAGTATAATGCAACTTAATAGGGATTTTTCCATGTAAACCAGTATAATGCAACTTAATAGGGTTTTTTACATGTAAACCAGTATAATGCAACTTAATAGAGTTTTTTCCATGTAAACCAGTATAATGCAACTTAATAGGGATTTTTCCATGTAAACCAGTATAATGCAACCTAATAGGGATTTTTCCATGTAAACCAGTATTATGCAACTTAATAGGGATTTTTCCATGTAAACCAGTATAATGCAACTTAATAGGGTTTTTTTCATGTTAACCAGTATAATGCAACTTAATAGGGTTTTTTTTCATGTAAACCAGTATAATGCAACTTAATAGGGTTTTTTCATGTATAATGCAACCTAATAGGTTGCATTATACCACCAGACCAAGACCCAAACGAAGACTCAGACCACCACCAGATAATGACCACAGACCAGGTTTCCTTAGTTACAGGAACCAAATTGTTTCAGCGGTGAGGGGATTTTTCAGTTTCAAGGACACTTTCAATACATTCAGTAGTTTCAAGGATTTCAGCTGTTTAAGAATTTAACCAGTTTCAAGGATATCAGGAGGTTCAAGGATTTCAGGAGTTTCCACACTTTCAACAGTTTCCAGGTTTAAAAAAGTTTCAAGGATTTCAGGAGTTTCAATGTTTCAACAGTTTCAAGGATTTCAGGAGTTTAAAGGTTTCAACAATTTCAAGGACTTCAGGAGTTTCAAATATCTATCAAGTATTTTAACATTTTCAAGGCTTTTTAAAGGATTTCAAGGATTTTTTTTAGCAGATTTCCACATTAGATCTGTTCCGCAGTCAATCGCAATGGCTTCAGCCATTGCAAGTTTCTAGTTGTAATTAGGGCTGATTATTTTTCTGCTCATCGATTTGATTGAGGCAAATATTTGTTTTACATGTAATATATAATATGTAACACAATTTTTTTGTTTTCATTAGAAATAATCTGATTGCATAAAAACAATTCTTATGATTCTGTGTCCTCTGGATGTCCTTACATGCACTGCGGCGGTGACTGAATACTAATGTGAAAGATCTATTTGCAAAACTTGTCACAACAACAGCAATTCATTTTGTATTATTATAGAGCCAGACTATGTCATTTCATGGTTTTTTTCTCTTTGTCCAAAGGCACATTTCTCACTTTATGAACAACGTATCCTTCCCTTCGCCACAGAGACCACGGATTCTAGTTCAGGTAATATATAAAGTTGTATTATTATTATTATTATCATTATTACTATTATTAGAGGCCTGTATTTCCCTAAAGTGTTTTCCATGTGTCTTTAGCTGTCTGCCCACGACACGCTCATCCTCTCTCAGCCCGTGTCCACTCCTCTCCCACTCAGGTATTTCATCACCTTCACCTTTCATCAACAGTTAGTTAGTGGTCAGTTTATTATTAGCGGTAATTGTAAACTCCCAATGAATGCTGGGGTACCTTATTTTCAAACTATATAATAAAATCTTCACTCTCACTAGTTTTAAATTCACTCGCTCAGCCAATCAGCTCTCAGCCCAATGCCTCAAATACTGACTCAAAGGGCTCTTTCTTACAAGTATGCAAAAGATATAATGCTTTCTATTAAGATGAAGGCCGCATGCTGTGGTCTGACTAGATCATGACATTCTTCTTTTTCAAGACTCTCAGTCAAACATGCGTTATTTATGAGAGAAAGTTAGGTACTGCAGCTTTAATTTCATACCTTAAGTTATAATGATACACAGTGGGGCAGAAAATGATTTAGTCATTGTGCAAGTCCTGCCACTTGGGTTTCCTGAATTTTTTTTTCTTTCACCCATGAGGAAAATTACAGGCATCTCTCATCTTTTCATCAAGTGGGAGGACATAAGTGGGAGTCAGCCACCAGCACGATTGGTGGTTGACTAAATCCTTTTGAGTTTAGTTTAGTTTAGTCTTTATTTGAAGGGACAATGTACAGATACATTAAGCTCGAAGACAGATATGTTCTGCACCAGATTATAGCTAAACAGCTAGTTTCCATCTGCAGTCCCAGGTTACATAAATAAAATACATGGATACAGTAATGTACAATCCAATAGAAATAACATCACAATACAGCACACTCTCTGATTCAGACACACACATTTAGCCTTTTTAGCCTATTTTTGCCTCACTGTAGATACACTTGACATTCAACAACATTTATGGAGATTGGTCATCTGCCCCTTATGGACCAAGGGCTCTATGTGTTTTCTATTGTTGCATTTCTTGTGTTTTAACTGTTTGATTCTCTGATCTGTGTTGGCAAATTCAACAATTTTGTAAAGTCCTCTGTGATAACTACTGTTGTGATTTAGGGCTATAAATTGAATTGAATACTAGATACCTGTATCTCAAACATAGGCATGTCTTTTTCGATTGTCTTCCAGCGGGGCGGACTACAGTACTCTGCTGATGAATCTCGGGGCTGAGAATTGTGCCACACTGTTGCACTTTATTTTACTGGAGAATAAGATCCTGCTTCACTCCCTGCGGCCCGACGTGCTCACCGGGATTGCGGAGGCTGTGGTGGCTGTAAGTTACATGCCACACATTTACATTGCATTCAGAACTGCTGGTCCTATTCATGGAAAGGGCACAGCGGGGTTATGTGAGGTTCACTGTATAAATATATCTATTCTAATATCTGGACGAGGTATTGGAAGCTTAAGCCTGTCTCAAAGGACCTACCCGCTCTAATGGAAATGTCTTGTCTTCAGCTGACAGGGAAATGTATCTTTTAGTTCTATAAATAAATACACAATCTTCTGCATCAAACTCATCCTTTAGTCTATTTTTGGGCCAATTCACAGAGCACCGACCCCTCACTGATCCTCCTGCAGGTGTTGAGTCCACAGGAGCATGGCTGCTCTATCAGTCAGAGCATAGCCTTGATCTTTCAGCTGGGGCTTCTGGCAAAGTGGGGATGAGGGTCTTGCCCAAGGACACAATAACAGCAGACATCAGTGGGAGTTGGTGGAGAAGGTCTCGCGGTGGGCTCAAACCTACAACCTTCAGGCTCAATGGCCAATGCTCTACCAAATAAGCCACTGTCGCCCTTTAAATAAATAACTTATTTGCTTGTTCTTTTGTCCGCTTTGAGCTAAACAGCTTGGTGTTGAATACAGACCAAAAGTCCTCAATGTGTATATTTACCGGTAATTCTGTTTCTGTGGTTTAACGATTTACTTCAAGTTGTAACTCTGCTTTTAGGGCTGAAAACAACAAAAACTGTGTGTATTGCTGCAGTTGGCACATAGTAGAACTCGTAAACTCGTACGATTTGGAATTTTATAAAACTCCTACGAGAAAAATGTTGTAGTGGATTATGAAGTGGCTGAGATTTGCCTACTACAAAGAGATTTATGATCTGTAACTGATTAGAGTTGCATCACACACACCAAGGCAGTTAAGAAAAGTGTGGAAGTGGTTTTCCTTTTTTTTTGATAACGTTAGAACTACTATCCATCCATCTCGTGTAATATCTGTCGTGTAATAATTTTGAGGAGAACGCAGCGAAAAGATAAAAGCAAATACAGCTGGAAAACCTTTTGTACAATGTTTACAGTCCGCTCCACTCCGTTTCAACACCGATCATAATTACTGGTATTGATGTGAAAGTTACGGACTTCTATGTTTGTTCAGCTTTGAACTTTTGCTTCTATTTAGTATTGATTTAATGTCGGAACAAACAAGAATGTCCCAATGCCTCACAATCCCCTAACTTTATTTTCTCATTAATAATACATTTTGTTTACCCGAACAGAAAGAGTTTTGGAAAGAGTAAAATCTAGTGAACGAATTTTTGCGCAATCTTTTTTTTAGAGAATATGTTATCCTTTGCATACATACATGTCAGAAAGGGCTCTCTTAGTCACTATTTGACTCCTTGGGCTAGAAGCAGAGTAAGGGTGATCTTCTCTTTTTCATGTTTCTGTCTGAAAATGTTGATCTGAAGATGTGACAGAGGCCAGAAATACATACAACTAGGGATAAAAATAAACTGATGCCAGGATCAATACTTAGATTTTTGTTGTTGTTTTTTTTTAGGTGTCCCAGCCTTATCATAAGCAATTGAATAACACCACATTTAGGGAGGTCCCAATTTCATATTAATGAAATTCTCCCACTGTAGGACCTAATAAAAGATCTCTTTATTATAGCGTTGGGGTTATTGTGAGGAAAGAACACTATAATTTCAACAAACCTTCACATTTTCTTACCAAACTTAGACGTTTTTAACTTCTAACATGTTACATTTCCTTTTCCATTGTTCATACGTGCTTTAAGATGGTATGACATTGTAGATATTTGAGCAAAACAACTTTGAACAACCTAAAATAACTTCTCTCTTAATCAATGTTTTTACTTGTTCTCTTTTAAAATGAACACAGTTGTTATTTTTCAGGACTTCCAGACATATGGAAGCTATCAAAGAAAACAGATGTTCTTTTTCAAAATTTCTTTCAAAAATTGCTCCCCTCCCATAGAGTTGTATTGGCACTTGCTGAAATAAAATTCTACAACGCAGCCTTTTTAATTGTTTTGCTAAGTTGTCCTTTTGTTCCATGATTTTTGTTCTAGATTCTTTTCCCGTTCCAATGGCAGTGCCCCTACATCCCTCTCTGTCCTCTCTCGCTCGCCGGGGTCCTGAACGCTCCGTTGCCTTTCATCGTGGGCGTCGATTCTCGCTACTTCGACCTTTACGATCCGCCTCCTGACGTCGTGTGCGTGGACCTGGACACCAACACCATCTACTTGTGAGCCCTAAATATTGTTTATACTTCACATTAACCAAACAAAGGTTAAGGACGATGTGAAAGATGTTAAGTCTAGGGATTTGGGTGAATTATTGTTTTGGTTTGACGCAGGTCTGATGAGAAGCGGCACAGCAACTGGAAAAACCTCCCCAAGAAGCCGGGCAAGACCCTGGTCAACTCACTGAGCAACTTGCACCACCAGCTGGCCACAGGTGGGACTGCATCCAAGATTGTGATAAGGAATAACTGAATAACATTGTATAAATATATTTCAGTTCAATTCTCTTTATTCACAAGCCTTTTATTAAAGTCCCAAAGTCTAAGTTTATAAAGTGGTTTTCATCTTGAATATAGTATCATTATGATCTTAAAGTGACACAAATAACGGCTAATATTTCTTTATTTCTTTTTAAGTCAATGTTTATCTGTTCCATGCCAGTGTCCATGCGGCAGACCGCTCAGGAGGACTCCGCGGTGGACATGACGCCCATCGAGGCAGACTTCACATGGTACAAGAAGAAGACCGCTCTGGAGATGGAGATCCAGGAGACCTTTCTGCGATTCATGGCCACCATTTTGAAAGGCTATCGTTCCTACCTCAAGCCCATCACCACCGCGCCGTCCGAAAAGGCCACGGCCGCAGACTCTCTCTACGACTTGCAAGGTACCGCCACACGCTCTGGTTATTCTGAAGCTTCTCCTGTATGTTGTACTTTGAGATTGCCGCTTAATAATTTAAACCATGAATTAGTTATTGGTTATTGGATGTTTCATTTATAAATCACAGATCCTCTATGACTTTTAGCTAATGGGAGATGATTTATAGCCCTTCTATCATGCAGGCTTAATGTTTTGGCTGTTGACGGGTGGATCAAATTATATATTCAAGCTTTAACAAGTGACAACCAACACAACTGTGATTTTTTTAGACCATAAATATGGGACATAAAGTTGCAGCTATTCTGAAATGTAATGTATCTAATTATTCAGTTATTAAAACTGGTGTACATAATGTTTACCGATATAAACAATACATAACCGCATATAACATGACAGCATGTTATATGCTGTCTCCATCTTTAGCCCTGTGAGTCACTAATTGACTCTGTTGGCTGAGTGTGGGTGGTCCTCTCATTCTCACTGTGATTATTAGTGATGGAACCAAACAGCTTTAGAACCAGTAACATTATTGTGGTTTTGCCGTTAAGTCTGTCTTGTCTGCATTTAATTTAGAGCTCTTCATATGAACGTGGTTTGATCAGACAGAAAACATTACATTTTGATTAATGTGATAAAAAACGTTGATGTGTGTTACTATACGCCCAATGGAACAATGAGAAATGTATTGGTTTTGATAGAAAAGCGTTATCCAAACATTATACCTGAAATTGTAATTACTCTTAGGTTTCTTAAAAAGTCGGGACCGCGCCCACCAGAAGTTCTACTCCCAGCTCACCAAGACCCAGATCTTCATCCGCTTCGTCGAAGAGTGCACCTTCGTCAGCGACAAGGACACGGGACTGGCCTTCTTTGATGACTGTGTAGAAAAGGTGAGTCTTAGTCGCAAACACGTATCATTCTGGAATAGGGGCTGCACTATTTTGGCAAAATATATAATTGCAATTTATCTGAACAAAATAGTGGCACAATTTTATATAAAAATAATAACTTCAAGAGAGTTCCATTTGAAAATCATGAAAAGCGATTGCATCATACATAATTCCCACACATTCCAGAAATGTTTCCCGAGTTCAAAGCTTAGGTACAAGCATGTTTTTCTAGTACATTTCACTGCAGAAATGTAAAATATATTCATGCCATAGTTTGTGAAGATTACTTGAAGACCATTTTAGATTACAGGTTCCATATTGCTCCACCTGAGTCAGTTAGCTTACAGTTTGGATTATAAAGTTGCTTTTAAGGGTCTATTTTACAACAAGATGTGGAATTTATTCACGAGTTAAATGTAGAAATATTTTGCTTTGCTTATTCTCCTCCTGTGTCTTTTATTTTATTGCTAACAAGTGGTATAAGGGGATATAATACTAAAGAAACAAAGTAATTTTCTCTAATCTCACAGAGTTTTATGTTGTGGGATGGGAAAATTGTGTTTCTGCCCAACAACCAAGACAAAAGAAAAAAAATAATTTTCCCAATTTCAAGTGATGTTTTCCTCATCTTTAGTCCCTTTTTTGTTTTCAAAGAATAATTTCAGTTTTTGTTATTTGCGAAAGTTGTGATTTCAATTAGACTATGATTAACTGTGCAACCCTATTCTGGAAGTTCTAGTGTTGGTTGTGATGTTTTATCGGTGAAGCTTCTCCTTGTGTTCTGGGGGAATGAGGAAGTTATATTTCCTTTGATTCAGCCTGTTCCTCTGCTCTTTCCTCTCCTCACAGCTTTTTCCTTCTGATAAAATCACCGACAAAGGCACTAAGGTAATGTTTAATCACAATCTTCTTTCCCCTTTTTATTCTTTCAAGATTAATATTTTCCTCTTGTAATGATTGTTCCTGCTTCACTTCCTCCAATAATGAGTTACTCAGTTGAGCATGCGCACGGTGTAGCTCTATGCTTTTTATATTTATGTTTTTTAAGTTAGATTAACAAGTATGATATGATAGATGTCAGTTACTTAAGATGGAGAGACATTTTTCGAGTGCAAGCGTCCCCACTGCTTCCTGATTAGGCGCATATGGTTGAAAATATGCGTTCCTATAAAAAGTGAAATACAATTGACGTTAGATCACTTTTAACAACACAACTGCCTTGTGTATTTTAATCTAAACTATGAACTCCAAACACAGTTAGTAACAACAAGAAAAAGAATCAGAACACAGCCATTTATTTATCTTTGGTCCAGTTCTGTTTGAATCCCAACATAACTATACTCAATCTATTAAACAAGAACATCCAAACAAATATTTAATAAAGTGATAATTTTCTCATAACACACAAAGAAATAAACACCAATAAATGCAAGAGATTAAACTATAAACACAAATGAAACACTGGATATGTTGGTGTTCAAGTTTTCCTCCCTGTCGATTATTCCCATCCATGTCCGTAAAGACAATATGAAGTAGCCTTTAGAAATGTCCTAATGGCAAAACTTGCGCTAAAAACTGAAAAAAATAAATTAAATCTTTTAGTCATGGGCAATATGTTGTTTCAATATTATTGTTTTCAGCGACAATGCATATTCAGTCTCAATTTAGCGACTCTGACAGGTGTTATAGAATTATATACCCCATGAAGGAGAAAACTCAAAGGTCCTTTGTCTGATCAAAAGCGTAAGTTTATTGTTAACGCACAGTGCGGAGAGCCAGCACATACACTCCAAAAGCAGCATGTCCCAGCTCTGGGGGCCAGAGCCCCGAGCTTCCTGTATACAAGACACACACCAAAGATAGTCACGCCCACAACGGAGCGGAGGGGGCCACCGGTGAGGAGGCGCACAGGAAGCGCCGGCGCTATCCCCTGTGGTGGCAGTGGCATGGGGTGTGAACAGACAGACAATGGTGGAAATGCAGGTCATACAGATGCAAGACGGAAAGACACAAGGGTGTGACAGACAGCAGGGACCTTCACAAAGCTCAGCATGGCGTCAGAAGGTCGTCTGCATTGATAAAAGGCCTTTGACGTCCGTGTATTTGCTGCGGCTGGTTTTAATGTAATTACTCCAAAAACTGTCACCACACTCCCCTCTTTTGATAATTCAAAACCATTTTTGCATTAATCAGTTAAATACCAGAGGCATCGTAATCACACCACCTTCAAGCTTGAAACACTTAAATTATTGCTGTCCAAAGTGGACAAGAAAAGACACATGCTTGTCAATAAAAGAAAGAGCACATTATAATAACACAATGGATCCGGACAGCGATAAGAGAAGGCAATATTAACATAATAAACACGGTCAGCACGGAAAGTAGTGTCAGTGTGGCCAGCATAACAGTCCAAGGGCCCATGCCGGTCTACGTTCGGTAGTCTTTTCCGCGGGAATACTCACGAGCAGTGCCGTCTCGCAGTCAGTGGCACCGCTCCCTATGAGCGTGTGTGGAGCGTTAGTGGTCATGGCGATGTTTGGTCTTGGAGCGGTAAGACTCTAATTGCGTTGAAGCCTTGGCCTCAGCACTCGGTTGGGCAGAGTGCTCGGGGTTTGGGGTGTGGAGACCATGGCTTGAGCACGCTCCAGATCGGCCAGGCCCAAAGCTCATTTGATGGGAGACCTCATGACAGCACGCTTCACCATGTGCCTCATCAGGAACTGTAGAGCAGCCCTCATCTCCACCTCCTCCGGACACACGGGAGACGAGACACCAGGGGGGCACTCCAGCAGAGCTCAAATCTGCATTATGGCCAGAGGGAGCAAGCTCTGGAGAAATCTTTGGAATGGGCAGCAGCTCTGCATACTTGCTGCAGCTGAGCAGAGCGCTCAGGGCCTTCATGGCTCCCAAGCCTTGGGATCCGGGGGCTGGGGAGTTGGGCAAAAGGGGGGTCGCCTCGGGAACGCTGGGATTCTCTGGGTGTTGTTGTTGGCCTGCTTCACCGACGGTGGCCGCACGCCAGCCGACTTCTTCATCGTAGGGAGCCGCGGATGGGCCTGGTCCGTCCGCGCCCTCGGTGTCCTCGTCTATGGCCCTCAGTGGCAGCACCGCACGACAGTGGTTGGCGTGGATCCAAGTTGTCCTCTCCGCGACCTTAACGGCAGTGTCCGTCACCAGGAGGGCGAGGAATGGGCCGAGCCAGCGCTTGGACCGCCAATGCTTTCGTCTCGTTTCCTTCATCAGGACCCAGTCGCCTGCGCAGCCTGTGGCAGGGCGCTCCTGACCTGGGCAGAAATAGAGGACAAAAGTGCATTAATTTCCTTACAATAGGACAGCATGTCGTCATCACACAAAGAGGTGCTTGGCAGATCTCTGTTCGGGGGTCCCGCGCCCAACGTGGGGCTAGCGGCAGAGCTTTGAGTGCCATTCTCTCGCTCGCACGTGCCTCCGGACCAGGGGGCGTAACTGCAGTGTTTACGTATATCAATGCCCAGAAATTCACCCACTTCCTCAATGACTTTTGCTACAAAGTGACTCACCACCGCGTTGCTTGTGGCGTGTATGCCTGCAAATACTTCAGTCCATTTGGACCAGAGATCCGCCAGACCCAGACAGTATTACTTACCTTGGCATGGTGTGAGTTCAACAAAGTCCCTTTGGACATGTTGAAATGGGCGCAGGGGCGGAGGATGAGCAGCCTGTTGGATACTTTTGGGACTTACCTGGGTTGTGCGCGGGGCATATAGCGCATGTTTGGCTGAATCTCTGTGCAAATGCCGTAAACCCCTTTGTATACCAATTTTGTGTGATTAAATCACACATCATCCCTCCTTTTGAGGCATGGTCTCGACCATGTGCTAAAATTGCAAACTGTCTGAAGAAATGCCGTGGTAGGCACGGTTTGCTGTCTGGTCCCAGCCACACACACCATGCCGTCGTTGAGCCCCATTCCCCTCTCACAGCAGCGTCTCTGCTGGAGTAGAAAATATCAACGTCTTGAGTGAGGTAGTGTGTGTGTGTGTGTGTAGAGGTGCGTATGCCGCTGCCTTGTCCGCGCGCCGATTCCCTGCAGAGATGGGATCAGTGGCATTAGTGTGGGCCTGGCATTTGCATACAGCGATCTCTAAGGGCAACATTACAGCTTTCAGCAGACGTTCAACCTGTGTGGAATTAAGAATTGGTTTACCATCAGATTTCACAAAATTGCGGTGTTTCCACAGTGCTTCCCAGTCGTGCACCACAGAGAAACCATAGCGCGTATCACATAATATGTTAACAGTTTTGCCCGCTGCCAGCTCACACGCCCCGGTGGGCGCGGCCAGCTCAGCGGTTTGTGCTGAGTGGTAGTGGGGCAAACTACCAGAGTCTATAGTATCAAAATCAGAACACACAGCATAGCCGACTCGGTTCTTCCCAGTGTTGTCACGTGACGCCGCTCCGTCTGTATAAAAAAAATCAAGTCAGGATTAGTCAGAGGCACCTCTTTCAGGTCTGGCCTGGGAGTGCATCTCTGCTCTATTGTGGCGATACAGCAGTGTGCCTCCCCTTCCTCTGGCGTGGGCAGCAGCGAGGAGGGGTTCAGCTGTGTGCATCCCTTCACCGTAGTTCAAAGAGCACCGTGTTGTACCCCAGCCAACGAGCCGCAGAAAGGCGAGAGGCCCTCTGCTCTAACAGGATCAGGGAAACAGCATGGGGCACAAGCAAAGTTAGTTCAGTGTATCCCACAAGGTCACGTGATGCTAGGGCCGCTTTCTCAGCGGCAGCCACAGCCCGCAGGCAGCGAGGCAACCCTGCTGCCACGGGATCGAGTTTTGCTGAGAAGTAAGCAGTGGGTCTCAGTGGCCCTCAGTGAGGCTGCAAAAGTACCGACTGTTCCGTTCATCTCCAGTTGCTTTTCTCCCGGATCGTCCTCAATTCATATTGTGGGCTTTTGTGCCAAAGTGGAGGCTCATTTCCTCCTGATCCATACTACTGTCATCCCTGGAGCAGGGGTAGTTTATCTCTCATCTGAAAAAGAAATATCAGAACACAAAAAAAAACACAAAAAAATGCCCACTTTCGCTTGTCAATCTTTTTCCCAATTGGGCAAAACATAACTGCATTGACAGGTGGTGTGTGGCATCAGGGCGGAGGCTGTAGCCAAATACAGAACAACAAAATGTATGTTTCTAATTTTATACTCCCCTAAATGTGAGTTTACAAACCAAAGTTGTCCTCCGCCCAATGACCGCTCACTGCGGTTGGACCGAATCACTGTCAGGGCAAACAGCAGAGGGAGGGACTCCCAATATCTTCAGCGAGGTATTTCATCTCCGAGTACTTTCCGCAGAGTACTTTTCTCAGAGTACTCATCCCAGAGTACTCTCACTTTTACACCTGTTCAATAAAGGTCGTTATCTTTGAATCTCTAGTACTTACACCGTATGCTGTTGACAAAAAAGAATTATTCCATGATCACATTAAAACATTACAGACACATTTGTTATTCCATGATTCCGTTCAGCATTCCTCATTTCACTCCTTATTTCACACATCACACTCATATCACAGTCACATCACAGTCACATCACAGGCCGATTCCCCCACGTTAGTATTTTGGTCCAGTTTGTTAAGGTCGACGTAGTGTACTTTGACATGACACACAAACATATAACATACACAAAACATATAACACACAAACATGTAACACACACAGAAGGCCTGTACTTTTAACTTTGTTATATTTTTCCATGTCCAATTCCAATTGTCTCATGAGCTATTTCTTATTGTTGCAACTTTAGAGCCTGCAGAGCTTTAAAAGAGTTTTCCTAAAAGGATCCATTTCCAACTTTAGTGTTTACCACGTGGTCTGTATTTCGGGCTTATCACAGATTGTGTCCCCTATATCTCTAATGAGCTCTTGTCACCTAAAAAATGTTTATTTTCCTTATTTTTTTTTTTCTTTTTCAATAAAGCCAGGTTGGATTCATTAAAAATGTAAATTAGTCTCAAACTTTAATACTTCACCTTTGTTTCACGATAAAAATGTTTTTGTTGCTCATTAAGTAGCACAGATAGTGGTGCCTATCTCAATAAACGTACTCCGTTAGCCTATCTTCCCTACACTGCATGAATTTTCAAACTCCAAGTTATTGTCTGGGAACGACCGGAGAGAGCAGCTTAGGTCGTTCGCGTGGTTGACCTCCAAATTTTGTGCGGGCGTCACTATCCACTTGTTGTGGCTAATAACTTAGCAATCTCAGGGTTTGGTGTCAATTTCCAGTGGTAGTTAACTTTTGGGACCGGTGCCTCCTTTTATTTATCTATTTTTAATTGAGTCTGCACATAAGGTCTCGGCCTAGTAGGTTAACCGGGGACAATGGGGAATATAGAAAAGAATGTTTAAGCTGGTTGCCCTGAGAATCAAAACACGTTAGCGGTGACGTAAATTGCTCTTTAGTCGTCTCTCCGACGCTGCTAATTAGAATATGAAGCGGCCGCTCATTTTAGGGGAGACAGAAAGGCTGTCACTTTTAGCACAGAATTTGTTGCCCCGGAGTCATCCAGAATTTTAACTTGTACACCACAGGTTGTTAGCGTATATTACGGGCATGAATTATCTCTAAAAAGTGCCAATTGCAATTTGTTGTTGTTCAACTTACATGAGCGGTCGCTTTGGTGACGAATGTGAACCCAGGTTTGGTCAGTCGCTCGTGTTTCCTCCTCGCCCGCCTCTGCCGTCCTCTGGCCCCGTGTGAGCTTGAGCGGCCCTCTGCCTTTAACGCCTCCTCCGGTAACAGTCCTTCGACCCATGTCGAGCACACAGTCTTTCCGCCGGGCTGTGGAAGTTTTGCAAAGTCCGCAGGAGGCCCAGGTAGCCCAGAGCGTTAGCATGTGGTCCATGAGGGTTGGTGAATAACCCAAACGTGCCGGTCACAATGGCTTCTTCTGTTTGCGGTGCGGGAACAACTTTCAAGCGGGTTTCCGCGGGTGCGTTTGGTATATCACGCTGCCCCCTCCGTGGAGAACAGTCACGGGATTTGGAGCAGTTTCTCTCTGTGCTCCAAAGCAGTTGTCGGTGTCTCACATATTTGTTTCCTCCGCTTCTTCTTCTGTGGTTTCCTGAGCGTGTGTCTGTTTCCGCCTCTTCTTCTTCTGCGGTTTGGGCCCACTTCTCGCGGGGTCTCAGCTGGTGCGGGCGCCGCCTGTGGTTGGGGCGTGGGGCTGGTGCTTTGAGGCAGAGGACAGAGCGCGGAGGAAAGGCGCCGACAGACCTGGATAGGGAAGAGGGAAAAGAGACAACAGTAGTCTGCTTCATTTTTTAAAAACCCAACGCCTTGTTTGGGCGCGTACTTAGCATGGAGTTCTGCTCCTAGTGTGAAAGGGTTAGTAGGTGAGAGAGGGCGTGTGTGTGCGCCTGTGTGTTCTCCGCGTAGGTGAAAAGCGGAGGAGCTATTGTTTTTACATATTTCTTTCTCTAACCTCTTTTGCCGTGATATTCTTAAAACCAAGTATATATTTTTTTTTTCTTCCCTTCTTCTTCTAAATTATCACGCAGATGACCTGCACCATAGGCAAGCACTTCATAGCTTGCATCTTCTAGATTGTTTTTTTACCCATTTTCTCGTACGAACAATGGGCCTAACCCGCTTAGTCTCTCCCTGCTCCTACCCACTTTGGGGCGCTCCGTTCCCCCCCCCGCTGGTTCAACCAGCGAGCGCGCGTTCTTGAAAACGGAGCGGTTCTGGCTGAAGACACTCAGAGATTCCAGGGTCGCTTACAATGCGATACTAACGCGCAGCCGCTAGTTTCAATCTAGAACAAAAAGCCCCCAAAAAATCCCGCACACAGACTATGCTGTGGCAATGAATGAAATACCCCAAAAATACATAAATAAACAAATCCCCGTGTACACTTAAGTGCTGCCCTGGGCTCGTTACGCAGATGAAAAGACTCACCAGATTAGGTTCTTTTTGGTCTTGTGTGGCAAAAGGATTCCTTCCGTGCGCGGGACGAGCGCGCCCTCCTTTGTCTCCAAAAAGGAACAGAGGCTGGTGATCCAGGTCGGCCAAACAAAGCCGCTCGTCCCCGCCGAAAGTATCCATGCCAAGACATGTCAGCAACGCCAAATTGTTATAGAATTATATACCCCATGAAGGAGAAAACTCAAAGGTCCTTTGTCTGATCAAAAGCGTAAGTTTATTGTTAACGCACAGTGCGGAGAGCCAGCACATACACTCCAAAAGCAGCATGTCCCAGCTCTGGGGGCCAGAGCCCCGAGCTTCCTGTATACAAGACACACACCAAAGATAGTCACGCCCACAACGGAGCGGAGGGGGCCACCGGTGAGGAGGCGCACAGGAAGCGCCGGCGCTATCCCCTGTGGTGGCAGTGGCATGGGGTGTGAACAGACAGACAATGGTGGAAATGCAGGTCATACAGATGCAAGACGGAAAGACACAAGGGTGTGACAGACAGCAGGGACCTTCACAAAGCTCAGCATGGCGTCAGAAGGTCGTCTGCATTGATAAAAGGCCTTTGACGTCCGTGTATTTGCTGCGGCTGGTTTTAATGTAATTACTCCAAAAACTGTCACCACACAGGCTATTGGTCAATCTCTGGTTTCTACTTTAGCATGGCTGCCCAACTGAAAATGTCATTAATAAACCAAAGAAAATGCCATACCGTTATTGCATAGTGCATGTTGCGTGAGTCTACCGCGCAATGTTCTCGCCGTGAGTTTACAAAGATCTGTTGGACGCAGGTGGAAGCGGAGTCCTCTGAAGACACCAAGTTGCTGGAGTTGGACGAGTCTCAGAAAAGTGAGCACACGGTGTTTGTGATGCCTCCAGAACCTCCAGTAGAAGACGGATCTGAACCAGCTCAAAGATACACGTAACTATCTCCACTGTACTGTTGTCATTCACTGCAGCAGGGGTGTCCAAACTAAGGCCCGCAAGCCAAATGCGGCCAGCTGTGAAGTTTTATGAGGCCCTCTGCCGCTAACTCGATGAAACCATTGTGGCACTTTTACAGCGTCATCCATCCAACTTCAGCGTCACCAATACAGTACCTCGTCGTAAAATTAATAATTTTAATTGTGTCACAAAATTCCATATATAGCACTAATGTAGCTGGAGTGTGAATCAATAAAATCAGACTTCTCGACCCTTGGACAAGTCTTGTGAACTAAAGTGGCCACAGTTTGGACACACCTGCACTATGGGTTTGATTTAATGTTTATTTCAATTAGTATTTTCTTTTACACAATACCAAGAAAGACAGCTCAAACGAGGCAAGAGGCAACACTTATAATATCACAATGCTTTAGGAATACATCACCGTTGCTAATTTTGTCATGTTCACAAGCATAATCAATCAGTTGACACATTACGAACTTGTCTTCTACAGTATAAACTTTAATGAACTATCACAAGTACATGATTCTCCTTTAATTATACAAAATAGAATGTAGCTTAAACACAGATTATCAGCCTTCTTCATAGTCGTTATGGTGCAAACCATAATAGAGTTATGTATACAACATTTATTAATAGTAAAATTATTATTATTTTTATCAAATTAAAAATAAATAAATAACAGTAATAGATGAACACATTTTTGGGGGAAATGTTTTGCCCTTTCGTCTTTACAAACCAATATGTGCAAGTTGTATCGGTACTTTTGCGACATACTGTATGTTGTATGGCATTGTCATTATTACCAGGCGAATTCTTCAGGCTTATTGAAAATGTCACCCGTGTTGTTAAAGTCCGTTTCATATCCCACAGGTACAAAGGGTTTCCCAGGTTAAATATGGGCCTTTTTGACTGTCCCAGAGACCTGCGGCCGGCACTCAGCACTAGAGCGGCAGGGGCCAGTCTGTCCAGCAGCCCCGCTCTCCTGGCCAAGAGGACCAAACAGGTGAGATTCAGGCCCTATTCATATTACTGACCTGTGTCTGTTTTAATTCAGTTCAATTCAATAATGATTGTATAGCCCTAAATAACAACTGTAGTTATCTCAAAGGACTTTACAAAACCGGTGAATTCGCTAAAACAGATCAGAGACTCAAACAGTTCTAACACAAGAAATGCAATGATAAACAACACATAGAGCCATCGGTCCATCGGGACAAATGGCCAATGTCCATAAATGTGGATAAATGTGGATAAATGTCATTATATGTTGAGTCTCCATCACTACTGTCCACAGGGCACAGGCACAATACTTGATACTTGTTTCACCATATACAGTATGTTTGAGCTAATAGCTAAAATCTAAAACATGATAAAGTAAATAGTCTCATCTTAATAATCTTAATAATTATCATCTTAATTGCCAAAATAATGCCTAATATTTCTTTATGTCCATATTGAGTAAAGTTTGACTGATTTTAGGCTGTAACTTTCTATGTCTCCATCTTCAAAAATCAGCTAAATCTTGGCCGATTATTGATATCAAAACCCGGACAGTTTAATCCCCTCGATCCCATCATTTGTCATCTCAACTGTAGGCCTCACTCGGCCTTGTGTGTACAATCAGTGAATGCACCACCCCTCTTTTGTCCTCTTAACGCATGGCTGTGTGTGTGTGTGTGTTGTGACAGGAGATTAAACTGGCCTATAAAATGGCAAAGCGCTTCCACTCAAACCCTCCTCTGTGGGCGCGCTGCCTGTTCAGCCACTGCTACAGCCTCTGGTTCATCTGTCTCCCGGCTGCCGTCCGTCTGGCCAAGTCCAAGAGCCGAGCCATGCACCAGGCCTACTCTGTCCTCCTGAAGATGAGGACCACCGAGGTCGAGATGCTGGACGAGGTGACGTCATGGCTTTCATTTGTGTGTCCCTGGAAAATATTCATTTTGTTGGATTACATGCAGATTTTGGAGTCAAAGGGGCGGAATGTTGTATTATCATCTTCCTGTACGTGTCCCCAGATAGGTCACATTCACAAATCATGTTTGACCTTTTTTTATTGAATAATTAAATCCAATGGACATTATATTTATGTTTCAAATTTTCAAGCAGACTATCTAGTCCTTGAGCAGAACAAGACTTTCATTTGGGTTGACTGTTGGTTAGGTAACATTTTGCTTGTATCTTTTTTTTTATTAAAACATGGCACCACAATACAAACTTTTTTGACACTTTGGGCTGAGATCTGATTGGCTGAGTGAAGGTCCTTTCTTTTTCACTTTTCACTGAAAAAGCTGATCTAAATATGACACAGGCAGAGCTAGGAACGAGTTAGATGTAATGTATTTCAGTTCTATAGTTCTAATAGTCTAGTAGTTTTAAAGTCAGTTTCCTTCACCATGAAATGATGAAATTATAACTTTTTGTTCTGCTTTTCTAGGTGTGTTACAGAGTGGTGATGCAGCTGTGTGGGGTGTGGGGCCTCCCTGTGATGGCGGTGCGTGTTCTGGTGGAAATGAAGAAGGCCGGAGTTCACCCCAATGCCATCACTTACGGATACTACAACAAGGTACTATTAGGGCTGTCACTAACTGCCCGAGTAGACAATTACTATTTTTCCGGTTAGTCGACTAGTCAACGACTAATTCATGTTTTTTAAAGAAATGCACCATCACTTTGAGAATTCTTTTTTATTTCGTGACCGGCCGTGCGCATGTGGGTCACAAGCAGCCGCAGAGGACAGAAGCAGGACTTATATTCTTTAGCCCTGTTTTCTCAGGGATCAGCAGTAATTCTGATTGTTGCGAAGCATTGCCTAAATGTATATGTGTATTCCTCCAAAATGGAAGCCGTTGACATATTTTAATAGTTGATGCAGTGTTATATGTCAACTAGTGTTATGTGCAAACTAATGCCGTTATGGGTGAACAAATAAATCACAAACTAGGATTTTTTTTAATTATTATTATGATCAAAATCGCAATTTTTGCGGTCTCAATTAATTCTCAGTTCGTTCCAAACATAAGAGGACTGAAGGTTTTATTTATTTTTTATTATTATTATTAAATACACATAAACAGGCACATTTATATGAAATGTCAAAACGTGTCGCACAACTGTGGTCTGAAAAAAATAATTTAATGAGAAACTCCTTCAAATTTAGACCTAGTCATAAAACGCTCCCCTGTCTTTATGTGCACCTTCTCTCTCACTGCTCACAAAGGCCACCATTAAGTCTAATCAACAGTGTTTAAAAATACAACTGTTATTCAACCAAAGCATTATTCTTATCAGTGTGTTTTGTTGTTTTCTAGGCTGTTTTGGAAAGCCCATGGCCGAGCAGAAACCGCAGCGGTCAGTTTATGTGGACAAAACTCCGGAACGTGCTCAGAGGAGTCGCTCAGTTCAAACACTCTGTCGACCAAACCTCATCCAAAGGAGAGACGAGTCTCAGCACAGGTACATTTCATTTCTCTGTACAGTTATCGTTTAGTTTTGTTTTGTTTTTTATTGTTTGTTACTTACACATTAGATTCTTATGTACCTCCAGCAGATGTTCAGTTCGGTATTGGGAACACATAATAACAGAATAAGACAGAGTTACGCCCGGTTCAATAGTCTTATGGCTTCAGGAAAGAAACTGCTTCTCATTCTTTGATTATGGGTCATGAGGAGACGATGGCGCCTCCAGATGGCAGCAGCGTGAACAGTCCATGATCGGGGAGGCTGCTGTATTGTCGCATACTTGTTATGATCTTTAACTTTTGTATTTCTTTTCAGCAGCTGTACGTAACTCCACAGGGAACGAGGCGGACCGCTTGAGCCACGACAGCGCCGACAGCTCCAACGACGTCAACGGAGTGGACAATGTTTTTGCACATCGTTTCGAAAACGCAACTGACAGCCACTGTAACACAGGTCAGAGCGACAGAGCATTAGATAATTAAGCTTTTTAATAAAGATTGATAATGATTATTCTAAACTTGACACACACACACACACACACACACACGCCTCCACCTACATCTAGTGTTTTCTCTTTAAATAGTGTAATTGAATCATTGCAAATTTTTTTTAAGCTGCTGTTAAATATTACTAATGGTTGACATTTAGTTCGAAATGTACGCAAAAATCCTGTTTCGTCTTCTAATCTGAGCCTCTCTATCATGGAATACATTTTTTTAGGTGGCAGAGAGTTTTCAAATGCCCTTTAATCACATCCAGCAGTTTTAAGTTCTCCCAAATCTATGAACAATGATGTCTAAAGTGGACACTAGATACAGTCCAAATGGCCTTTTTTCGCAAGGTGATTAAAGGTTATAACTTATATTTGTTACAGTTCCCCCCTCTTCAGCCCAATCATTTCAATTAGACGATTATTTAGCAATCACCGGTTTTCTTCTGCAGGTCAACACTCTGATCAAGGTTACGGCTCCAAAGACGAGTTACATCAAGAGGCCTTAAACGCTGCTGCTGCCGAAGAAAGAAGCCAAGACGGTTCTCAACGCACTGGTAAGAACATTTGCGTTGGATAAGATTTTGCTGTTATAATATATCAAAATGAAAAACTATTATATGTTTTGTCCTGGAGGAGACATAGCCGGCTCCATAGACAGCGCAGTAGTCAACGATCCTCCCAAAGATGTGAACTCACCAGCAGCGAGTATTGTCCGACTGTCGACCGGGAGCTACGACGGCGGAAGAGAAACCGGTTCGTGATCCTCATTTCAATCTGAAGTAGTTTTTATATTTGTGACAAGTGCGGGGCAGATTTTACGTCTTTAATACGATGAAGAATTTCACAGAGTTATTTGTGTATTTTGCTTCAGCCTCTATGTTTTAATGATTGCGTGAATTATGGGAGGAATAGAGTGAGGAGATAGAAGAGAGGGATGAAAATCAAAGGGCCCTAAAATCAGTTCTTCTGGGATGATGAAGTCTGAATGTGTTTTCAGTTATTGTGTGAAGTTATGAATTATGATTATGATTATATTGTTTATAGGGGCTGTTCATACAGAATGGAGAATTGCCGCTTATGTTAGAATAGAGCTGCATTCCAAACTTTTATTTCTGCTTATGCTTCCCAACCAAAAAGATAATTTCCACTTCCAGACCTTTCTGTATAGCGGTTACACGTTCTCCCGGTGTCAAAAGTGTTAAGTACTAAACATGGGGAGGCTGCATTTCAAATTTATGCAGCTAAAATCTGGAACAGCCTCCTTGAAAATGTGAGAGAGGCGTCTACTCTGACAATATTCCAATCCAGGTGTCTGTCCATACAACTGAATTATGTTATCTATATTTTTAATGCACTGTGGTTATTTATTCCTTGTGTGATTTAAAAGTTTTAGTGATTTTAATGGTGATTTTGTTGCGCTTTGTGTTGCCCCGTGTATGATAGGCACTCTACGAATAGGCAAGTTTCATTGATTGCTTTGTATGACCTTGGTCTGTGAAATAAGAATGAATTACTCACTCATACCATTTTTTGTTCCTCTTTTATCCCACAGGAAAACTGTTCAGGCGGCACAGTAAGTCCGACAACATCTCTCTCCCTGAAGACAATTCCACTGAAGCACAAACACAGAAGCAGAGGCAGAAGTCCTTCTCGGAGCGCAGCTGCAGCTTCAGTGCCGAGACCAGAGCCGGAATGCTTTTGGAGCAAGGCGTGGACCACATGGCCAGTCAGATGGGCGCAGACGCTCGCATCCTCGCCGCCGCGCTCTCCACCGGGCAAAGTCCACCCCCTCAAACCGTCTCAAAAGCGCTTTTCAACGACTTAGAGGAGGAGCCAGAAGATGAGCTTGTGAAACTGGCAGAGGACGCAGAAGAAAATGAGAGCAAAGTCGGAGAGAAGACGGAAGAAGAAGACGATGAGGACGACGATTTGGGGGGCCGCGTGGCGACTTTGGAAAGAGCAGATGTCGAAGTGGGAGCGGATCCTCTCTCTCGATTAATGTCCGAAAGCGAGGAATGCTCTTCGGTGACGAGCCAGGAACTGTCCCGCTCCGTGCCTGTGGTCGTGTGTCGAAATCTCGCCGAGGAGATCGAGATGTACATGAGCCTGCAGAGCCCGCTGGGTGTCAAATCTTCCAGCATGGACTTACAGCCACCGAGAGACACCGCAGACTCTCCGCAAAACAAACAGACTTTAGAGAGGAGGTCCAGTCTCCCGGTTCCACAAGTCAAAACTCCAGTAGGGTCTCCGAGCGACACTCCAAAGAGGAGCCCCAACACGGTGACCAGATCCAAGACTTTCGCTGTTAAGTCCAAAACCCCGTCGAGTGTTGCGGGAAGTCCGGCAACTCGCTCTGCCTCTCTCACGGCTCTGGTCAAGTCCTCGCAGGGAGGCTCGCTGGGCTCCGTCATAAACACCTTCTCAGGCATAAAGATGGATACAATTTTGTCCGGCCCCAAAATGGATGTTTTAAAATCGAGCATGAAGCAGGCGGCGACCGTTGCGAGCAAAGTGTGGGGAGCTGTAGCATCTGCATACTCGTACTCAGACGATGAGGTGAGCCAAGTCATGACTAATTTTACTTCAAATCTAAACTGTTTTGGTTTCACAGTATGCCACATATTGCAATATTGTAAGTTAGCTCACGATGACGTGGAAATTCCCAGTATGTTTTGGCACATATGATCAATGCCAATGACTACAGAAAAAAAATACTCTAGTCTATGGACTGGTATAGTTAAGATTTGTCCTGCTACTTTGTTATTTGAAGATACTAACCTTAACACTTCATAAAGAGTAATTTTTTTCTCGCAACAGAAATAGTTTAAAAGTGAACAAATAAGATCACAGCATTCTCTGTACATCCATGTATTTATCGTATTACAAAACATTGTATATGTGAAACTGAACCCTGTTAGTCACTATTTGACTTGTTGGTCTGAGAGGTAATTGGTGGTGTGAGAGTGGTCCTCTTTTTCACTTTTCTGTCTAAAAAGTTGATCTAAAGATGTGACCAAGGCTAATGTACATGCATGTGAAAACTGATAGTACCAAACAGTTTTGAGATAAATAGTTGGATGGATTTTAATAAAAAAAAAAAAAGTAGTTTGAAAGTTAGGTACCCCTGCGATAAATTGCAAATGAATGACGATAAATAACCTTTTAATCACATTATACAGGACAATTGCACTGATAAAGAGAGTCTTGCCAAATTTATTTTTGTACTGCTAATATGGGTTTCTTTTATTCACATGATCAAATATCGTCTTTTATTCAAATGATAAAAACAATATTATTTTGATATTGATTGATTGATTGATATTGAAGTTAATAATCTTTCGTTTTCTGACTCCACTTGTTTTCTTCTCTGTAGGATGAACAGGGTCCCTCAGGGGGTTTTCCAGCTCATCTGGATGAAAACCTGCTTTTGCCTCATGATGTGGACGAGAGCCCTGAGCGAGGGCCCATCCATGGACTGGTCTCCAACGGCTTGACCCAGAGCTGCACCAGCCTCGGCAGCAGCAGCGGCAGCAGCGACACGGGCCGCGGGACACAGCAAATGCGTACGATTTTAACGTTTAATAAAATAATATTACTAAACAAAAACAAAAGGAGATGTATGAGGTCATGTGACGTCACAAGATTCCCTAGAGCCTATAGTTTAACATTGTGGACAAAAGTATCTCAAAACAGCTACTTTCTGTCTCATTCAACAGTCACAAAGTTCCACATCTTCTTTATCAGCACATATCGACTATGGCAACTATGAGCAGATGGTAATTTCAACTCTGTCATAGCAAATTATTAAGCTCAGAACAGTTCAAATAAAGGCCAGTCCGGTTCTACAATCCGGGTGATCGGCCCCTGGACAAGTCTTGTAAAGTGGGGCTCTTACTAAAAGTTTGGACACCCCTGAACTATTGTCTAATTATTTTTCTCATAAAGATTGGATTTAATCACATGACCAGCGTGTCCTTGACTCAGAGCATATTCTTGTTCTGGAGTGACATCCAGTTTCAATCAATTAAATGTATTTAGTGACCCAAAGTGCTTCACAAGCCAAGATCCACACATTATAATTTAAAACAGCAAAAATACATGTGAAATATTAGGTACAAAAAAACAAGCTTATTAACTGGGGGAAAAATATTGAATTCTAAAAGTGCTTATATGATGTTATTAATGTTGCAGATCCAACTCCGGGTCGAGGTCGCGGACTGGACTCTGAACAGGGCTCCCATCATGCATCCTGCTCCAGCATTTTCCAGAACATCGCTCTGGAGGTCAGGCCTTTCCCTCGGTCCCAAAATACAACCACAATTTAAGTAAATTCATGATCAATTATATAAATATGACTCGGTCTGTTCTTCAGGTTCTCATGTCCAGCTGCTCCCAGTGCCGCAGCTGCGAGGCGCTGGTGTACGACGAGGAGATCATGGCCGGATGGACCTCGGACGACTCTAACCTGAACACCAACTGCCCCTTCTGCCGGACCGCCTTCCTGCCCCTCCTGCACATAGAGTTTCATGATCTGCGCTCGTCCAGGTACAGGGCATTACAAGGGAGATAAATGGGAAAGAGAAATGGTCATTTGTTTTTATGTCAAAAACATGAGGTAGATGTGTTATACCTCATTTTAATGCTAAGTATCTGCAGATTTGAATGCGTTACAATCCATAATGCGTCACAAAAAAATCCATAATTCCGGCAACTTCAAGTCCATCCCTTATACCTAAATGTAAAGCCCATACATCAGGCTATAAAACGGATGTGGTTTTACATTTTGTCGATTTCAAGTTTGAAAAATACATGCATAAAAACATTTTGTTTTTCTAAGTGTTGTTTTTAGCTGTGTGTTTGTGGGGATCTAACATGTCATCTTTTATTCCTTATGATATATATTTATGATTGTCTTATTTATAAGGCAAACATGAATAAACAAAATCTAAATTGTTCATCTGCAATCTGTTTGAAAAATACAAATAGCTGGTTCGTTATTGTTGATATACACTATAAAAAGCAATACATATTTATTTAATGGAATATAGCCAGCGGATGTCTAGTTTTATTTCACTTTTATTAAAGAAATAAAAGTAACTAAATATATAAACATTTCAGTTTTTACATGAATCCCAGTGCGTCTGCGGAGAGTGTCCAAAGCTCCAGCACTCAGCCCACAGTGGACATCAAGCCCCCGGAACTCATGTCATTCCCAGAGGACGAAACCGAAGAGAAAAGTGCTGAGCAGCCGGAGACTCAAAAGAGGTAACATCTAACTGGAAACACGGGTGTTCTTGTATCATGTAAGATGTTCAAGCAAAGTCAGCATTTAAAATGTTTTATAATACATGGGCAATAAATTATGCATTTAGACTATTAAACTATTCTTTTTAGAATGTGAAATGATACCTTCAGTTGAAAATATATGATGAAACAAGTATGTAAGTGTAAAAAAAAGCTTTCCGCCTGTAACTCCATATGCTGCCACCAGAGGGAGGAGTATGAAATAACCGGCTGAGTAATTGCTAAGACTAATTCATGAAATAATGCTTCTGCCCGACAATAACACAAAATATACTTGTGTTTAATTGTGCAGCTCTACCATAAACTCCCCTCCGACTTGACAAAGCCAATGTGGTGTGATTGTTCCGTTTCCAGCTTGGTCCCGGAGCCAGTGCAGACGGATCCTCTCGGTCTTCTGGAAAACAAGACTTTGGTGAACGAGCTCAAGTGCAGTGGGACGTCATTGACCCGCAGTAACAGTGTGGGGGGCCCGCTACAGAGCCTGGCCCCCCTTCAGCGCCCAGGACACGGGGTCTCCACCACCAGCCTGCCCTCCAGCCTGCAGGAGGTGTCGGTAAGGCTACTCACTCATTCTTTTCTATTTAAAGCTGTGCTATCCTAGCCTGGCCTTAGCCATTTGTTAGCCATCCATTATCATTTCCCTACATGTACGTCTGGCTCAGCTCCCAGTGTCTGCATTTACCTCGGTTGTATCCCATCCGACCAATCAGAGAGCGAGGGAGGCGGGTGTTGTATTCGTTGTGACGTCAAGATAATTTTTTTTTTATTGACTGTGATGCAAAAAAGCATATCTTCAAATTCACTTAAGCGGTATTATCGTCTAAGATATATATCGCCCACCCGTAGGCTCTACTCCCCACGGGCTCCATTCGTGGCAAAGGAGATGCTAGGCTAAATGCTAGCGACTCACTCGGGCGCATTACATACATCACGGTAAACTCAGATCCAATCGTTTCAATCTGCAAAAGGAGTTAACCCCTCCCACCTGTTAACGGAGCTCAATGGAGCAAATCCAGCCCTTAGGACGAAATGAATTTTGTATGATGGTGTGGTTAGACCAGGCTAGTGGTATCCATCATTTGTGTTTCAAAGCTCTAATGTTTGTGTGTTGTGCGCAGGATGGCATGGGAGCTCAACGGCCCAATCCAAAGCCAGTGTCGGTTCCATACTTAAGTCCTTTAGTTCTGCGCAAAGAGCTAGAGACACTGTTGGAGAATGAGGGAGATCAGGTAAGAATATGTTTAAATTTTTTTTACTAATGTACAATAACTTTTAAAATCACTCTCACACCTTGCCCAGGCTGCATTACAGTTGAAATTACAGCTTTGTCGCTGAAACTGGCACTTGTATAGAAATGTTCATTAATGTTCATTGTCCCCTGTTCAAATAAATGCATAAATACAATTTGTTTTGCACAGTTCATACACAAGGCAACTGAAACTGCTTTTTTAATCACAATACATTAAAAAGGGTGAAGATACAATTCTTCAGTTATATGCACTGCTAAACAGGACTGTTTTAACCTGGATTTGAACATTATCAGAATAGAAGCTTGTCTCTCATTTTCAGGAAGACTATTCCAGAATTTAGTTGCATAAATCTGAATTGCTGCCTGCCCTTTTTTGTGTTTATTACTCCGGGCACCAGCAGGAAGCCAATCCCTGTTCTCCTCAGAGTGAGTTGGTCCATATGGCACTAACATAGATGTACTTTAGTGCGAGGCCATGGAGAGACTTGTAACGAGCAGAGGTGCTTTAAAGTCTATTCTCTGAGCCACTGGAAGCCAGTGCAGAGAGCTGAGGACTGGACTAATGTGATTGTACTTCCTGGTTCTAGTCAGGACCTGAGCTGCAGCGTTTTAAATATTCTGCAGCTGCTTTAGAGCTTGTTTGGAGAGACCAGTGAGCAGGTTGTTATAGTAGTAGACTAACTTACTGGAGAAGAATTTAGAACTCTGGTTAAGACGCAATTGCTTTTGTTTCTGAAGTTTATAAGTAGCTGTGAATGCTATTTATTTTATGTGGTCGTTTTACATTTTAACGTCCATTATTATCCCCTTCGGCAACATTTCTGTCTGTATTGACTTTCCGCATTTCTTCAGGTTATCTACACACACAAATTCCTGAGTCAACACCCAATCATCTTCTGGAATCTGGTTTGGTATTTCCGACGGCTGGATTTGCCCACTCACTTGCCGGGCCTCATTTTAACCTCAGAACACTGCAACAACGGAGTACAGGTAACTAACTAAACTATGATTATCACGAACATCAGAATGATCTGGAGGTAATGATGCTAACATGTGTTTTGTAGCTGCCCCTGACCTCACTATCCCAGGACAGCAAGCAGGTGTTTGTGCAGCTGCTTTGGGACAACGTCAATTTGCACCAAGAACAAGGAGATCCCCTGTATCTTCTGTGGAGGACATTCTGTGAGTGCTAGTCCAATAAAGTACCCTTACTTTAGTCCATTTAAAGATGGACTATCCAACTTCTTTTCTTTCTGAAATAACACACCAGAAAAAAAAATTGTAGGATCAAACCAGACCTCAAAATGCTGCTTATCTCGTTATAAAACATGTTATTTATTGCATACTTGTAATCATGAAAGATCCCTGTGAGTTACTATTTGACGCTTTGGGTTGAGAGCTGATTGGCTGAGTAAGGGCAGTGCTCTCTTTTTCACTTTTCTATCTGAAAAGGCTGATTTAAAGATTTAACAGAGGCCCAAAATATATGTGCGCATGAAAAGTAGTCATGGTTTTGAGAAGGAGGGACCGACTATGTCAATTTTCATGTTTTTTTTTCTGGTTTGAAAGGAATTCAACAGTTTAAATAAACATTGATTGGCAACTATCGGTCGGCCTCGAAGAGATTCTGGCAAACCATCCGGCGCCTCAGGAGGGGGAAGCAGTTCTTTGCCAACACCATGTACGGTGCGGGTGGAGAGCTGCTGACCTCGACTGGGGATATTGTCGGGCGGTGGAAGGAATACTTTGAGGTTTTCCTCAATCCCCCCGTCACGTCCTCTGTTTCAGAGGCAGAGGCTGAGGATGTTGGGGCGGATACATCCATCTCCCTGGCTGAGGTCACCAAGGTGGTTGGTAGCCTCCATGGTGGCAAGGCTCCGGGTGTGGATGAGATCTGCCCTGATTATTTAAAGTCTCTGGATGTTGTAGGACTGTCTTGGCTGACACGTCTCTGCAACATCGCGTGGCGATCAGGGGCGGTGCCAATGGAGTGGCAGACCGGGGTGGTGGTCCCTCTCTACAAGAAGGGGGACCGGAGGGTGTGTTCCAATTATCGTGGGATCACACTCCTCAGCCTCCCCGGTAAGGTCTACTCCAAGGTACTAGAGAGGAGGCTACGGCCGATGGTCGAATCTCGGATCCAGGAGGAGCAGTGTGGTTTTCGTCCCGGTCGCGGAACACTGGACCAGCTCTATACTCTCCATCGGATACTCGAGGGTTCATGGGAGTTCGCCCAACCTGTCCACATGTGCTTTGTGGATTTGGAGAAGGCGTTTGACTGTGTTCCCCGGGGTGTCCTTTGGGGGGTTCTCCGGGAGTACGGGGTCGGAGGTCCTCTGCTGAGGGCCATCCGATCCCTGTATGACCGGAGCCAGAGCTGTGTTCGCATTGCCGGCAGTAAGTCAGACCTGTTCCCGGTGAATGTTGGCCTCCGACACAGGGCTGCCCTTTGTCACCGGTTCTGTTCACTGTATTTATGGACAGAATTTCTAGGCGCAGCCAGGGGTCGGAGGGGGTCCGGTTCGGAGACCACAGGATTTCATCTCTGCTGTTTGCGGACGATGTTGTCCTGTTGGCTCCAACGAACCAGGACCTGCAGCATGCACTGGGACGGTTTGCAGCCGAGTGTGAAGCGGCTGGGATGAGAATCAGCACCTCCAAATCCGAGGCCATGGTGCTCGACCGGAAAAAGGTGCCTTGCCCTCTGCAGGTGGGTGGAGAGGTCCTTCCTCAAGTGGAGGAGTTCAAGTATCTCGGGGTCTTGTTCACGAGTGAGGGAAGAATGGAGCGTGAGATTGACAGGCGGATCAGTGCAGCGTGCGCAGTGATGCGGTCGCTGTATCGGACCGTTGTGGTAAAGAGGGAGCTGAGCCAAAAGGCAAAGCTCTCGATTTACCGGTCAATCTTCGTTCCCTCCCTCACCTATGGTCCTTTGGGTAATGACCGAAAGAACGAGATCGCGGATACAAGCGGTCGAAATGAGCTTCCTCCGCAGAGTGGCTGGGCGCTCCCTTAGAGATAGGGTGAGGAGCTCAGGCACACGGGAGGAGCTCGGAGTAGAGCCGCTGCTTCTCCACGTCGAGAGGAACCAGTTGAGGTGGCTCGGGCATCTGTTCCGGATGCCTCCTGGACGCCTCCCTGGGGAGGTGTTCCGGGCAGGTGTTCCGGGCACGTCCCACCGGGAGGAGGCCCCGGGGAAGACCCAGGACACGCTGGAGGGACTATGTCTCTCAGCTGGCCTGGGAACGCCTTGGGGTCCCCCCGGACGAGCTGGAGGAAGTGTGTGTGAAGAGGGAAGTCTGGGCGTCTCTGCTTAGACTGCTGCCCCCGCGACCCGGCAACGGATAAAGCGGAAGAAAATGGATGGATGGAAATGGATGGATGATTGGCAAAATTTTTACCAGTGCATTTCCAAATATATATTTTTACATAAGATACTCCATACAGAATACATTTCTTCGTAACAACAAAAAAGTAAAATGGTGTGAACAAATCAGAATTTATCTACTTATCTGCCTATTTGATGCTTTGGGCTGAGAGCTGATTGGCTGCGTGAGGGTTTTTCTGCCTGGAAAAATCTTAAGATGTGGCCAAATTCACACTCAAACAAAAACTAGTACTAGAACTGTTTTGAAAGCGAGGAACTAGTGACACGGATTTTATTAAAAAGATACATATTTTGTGGTATTAAAGCTTTAAATTACGCACATCCTCCATCTGCCACTGGATTTCATAAGGCTGTCCATGTTGATGCAATCCCCCTGTGGTCCACTAGAGGTCATACAAACACCATTCTTGCTTCTGACTACTGGTTTGTGTTTTTTTTTTGCCAGTGGAGAAGAAGGGAACTCTGGCTCCAACAGATCACCAAGAGATCCGAACGCTCCTCAACACGATCGTCCGGAACATCCAGACCAACGACATGTACGGCCCCATCAATCTGCTGCTGCGGGAAATCAAGAGGCGTCCGGAGGGAGTGAAGCGCCAAAGGTTTGTCCCCCAAACGCATAAAAAACGTGTGTCTTAAACTTACCGTCTCCTGTAGAACTGATCATGTGTGTTTGCATTTACAGGAGTATCTACAGGGAGATACTATTTCTGTCACTTGTCGCTTTGGGGAGAGAGAACATCGATGTTGGTAAGTTATACACTCCCAGTCAGAGAATGCATTGTTTTGGTCATATTTTGGAGACTATTAATGATATCATAGATACTCTGAACATTGTAAAGCACTTTGGGTGACTTGGGTCTGTAAAAATGCGCTATATAAATAAACATTCTTGACTTACTTACTTATTCTATGTTCCACCCTCACCTCTGGTCAGCAGCTTTGGGTTATGACCAAAAAAATGAGATTGCAGATACAAGCGGTCAAAATGAACATCCTCTGCAGAGTGGCTGGGCGCTCCCTTAGAGATGGGGTGAGGAGCACTGTCCAATGGAGCTCAGAGTAGAGCCGCCACTTCTCAACGACGAGATGAACCTCCTGGACGCTTTGAGCTAATAATACGAGGGCATTATTTTAGTGCCAGTACCTGTACCAGTCCAGAACCAGCACCTTTTGGAGAAACTGGGCTTCAACTGCCGTACAAAGTTTATTGCCAACAACTAATAATGGCTATGCAGTAATTTTAGATTGAAATGTATACACAGAAAAAGTCAAAAAGTTATGAAGACAAAACTGAACATCATCTGAGTAATTCCGCTTCCAAAACAAAAGCCTTCAAATTGAATGCTTTGCTCGAATGTTAAAAGTTAGGAACTGGTGACATGGATTTTCTTACATAGTACATTACATTTTTACTGGTTTGAAAAGTAAACTGTTGGACTGGTGTAAAACGTGCCGTAGAATATTTACAAATGCTTCTTTTCTGCAGAGGCGTTTGACCGGGAGTACCGCACTGCGTATGACGAGCTCAGCCCTGAGCAGCTGAAGGCCCTGCACCGGATCGACAGACCGCCCAGCCCCAGCGTCCAGTGGTGTCTCAAATGCTTTGCTGCTCCCTTCATCTAAAGTTCAAGAGTCCTAAACCAGTCCGGACGCAAGCTTTGAGATTTGGAAAGCGCATGGTACTAAACACCTTTTGGACTTGAAGAGATTGCCCACTACCTGCCTTTTTTTAAAGATTGTTTTGTTGTGTTTTTCCCAAGCAACAATTTGGACCTTTTTATGCTTGGAATTTGGCAGAGAACTTGTTGTGTATATCTGGTTTGTAAAAATGTATTTTCAGATTGACTCCCTAAGTGCATCTCCATAAGTGGAAATGGGCAAAGTGGAGTATAAATGTGGACCTTTTTAGAAACTGTTTGAATTGTGCACTTTCTATAACATGTCTATTTCTACTGCACAGTAATCTAAACCATGGTTGCCTACAAATTACAATTTCTTCTTTGGGTCACGTCTTAATATTTATAGCCCTGTTTCCACCAGCACTACTCTATTTCAATTTACTCTAGTCTACTCTACTCCACCTGATTGCTTTTCTGTTATCCTAAAGAACCTGGTACCGTATCCTAGCAACCGACGCACTATAAACTAGTATCTAGGGAATTTCTCTACCAAGATTCTCGGCCTAACCCTTGTCTTATCCCCAACCCTAACTTTAACCAAATTAACGGTTTTAGCCCTCATCATATCCCTAATTCTACCCTAAGCCAGATTGTGATTTCTAAATGCAAATTTAAATAAAGAAATGGCAACAATGTGAATATTTACAAAAATGCCAAGAGTACCTCTCGCCAATAACTGGCTGTTAGAAAACTTTAGTACCAGCTCAGCCTGGTTAGAACCTTAGCTCAGCAGGTACTAAAAAAGTACCTGGACACTGGTTTAACAGGGCGGGTGGAAATGCTATTAATCATAGGAGAGTAGAGTAAAGTAGAGTAGAGTAGAGCCAAGTGAGGAGGGTGGAAACAGGGCTTTTGAAGAATAACACCTGGATAGGATTTTCAGCAGGCCCCAGGACAATCCATAACTTAAAGAACATTCCAGAAGCTCCATGTCTTAATCATTGATTCATAATGTTGCACACATAGATCCAGATTAATTATGTCCAGCATGTATTCAAAATGAAATGACCATAGAACTATCGGCCTCTTGGTGAACACTTTAATGAGCTATATTTTGACTTGCAACCTTTTGTTTGAAATGAACAGAACTACAACGATGACTTCAACATTCCATTTAATATTAAATTATTAAAGAAAGGCAAAAGCGTGTGTTCTTTTTGCTTTAGATTTGAACTACAAACACTGACCTGTACAGAGGAAATCTTGTAAAGAAATGGTGGTAAAAGAAATGGACCACAACCGAATGATCAACATATATTTTTTCTCATCCAAAACCTAAAAACAACTATTTATTTTTGTACTGTTGATACGGCAGATGTGTTTGTTTTGTTTTTAGAGATATATGTTTTATGTTCCCACTTTTCTTTTTAACATTTTTAATTCCTCCTTTGGGAGAGGATTGTACAGATCTGTTGTGGAATAACTCGAGTGGTTTCTTACCGTCCTGTGGAAAGAACGTGACTGTTAGTGTGTTGCAATAAATTAATTTGTCAAGTGTTTGTGCTTTTTATTTCATTTTATATATTTTAGCCAGAACAATATAAATGTACATACATGACATGTGTATAAGACTGAATCTCAACACTGCTTACACGTATAATGCATCTGCTCTATACCTTGCTTTTTAGACACTCAAAGACGCTTCACAGCATTATTCACTACTACTGTAGCCACAGCTGCCCTGGGACACACTGAGAGAAGGCAACCAGTATATGCCATCAGCACCTCTGACCACCACCAGCCATTCACACACACACACCAGAGACATTCTAGGCAAAATGGGTGAAGCGCCTTGCCTAAGGACACATCAACAGAAGTCTCCCATTACAGTACTAACAAGGCCCAATCTGAACTCAGACGAGACCTGGCTCTCATGTGCCAGGTCTCACCTTTAAAGTCTATGGTGGCCCCACAATGTAGTTTATTCTTATGCAATTATGTTAATGAAATCATCTTTTGTTTTTTAAATGTGAGTTCAACAATATTTACAGTCTGTGGGTTCAACCTTTTAACTCCCAAACTCCCTAAGTGCTAGTTACAATAGACCACCTTACTTTAAGTCAAACCGGGAGTTTTTTTTTAGTTTTTATTTGTTTTTCATATTTCGAGAAGTTCTAATGTTAAAGAAAAATAATTACTTTTTTTTGAAATATGTAACTCGATCTTCTTCCAAAAGGTGGCGCTAACAGGACACGCAAAACACAAGCGTCTTCCCCTGTGACGCATCAGCTCATCAGTCTCACCTGCGCAGGCCACGCCCATGCGCTCTCCCTCCTCCTCCTGTGACTGAAATGGTTTAAAAGTAAAAACAAAATACTGCTTTTCCTGAACAAGTGAAGATGCCACGACGAAACAAGACGAAAAGTGAGGTTTCCCAAGATGAAGATCCAAGCCGAGAGATTCGGAGGAACAAGATGGCTCTGTTCATCCAGCAGTTTAAGAAAGAGGGTCTGTACCATGGAGCTGTAATAATATCGGTCTGTATGAATATATATACAGTCTATGGTCTGTATAGTGGTTATTTAAGCTGGATGACCTCACCGTGAAACCACACAGTCCATGCATGTATTTTTGGCTTTTCGCTCTCTATCACATCTTTAGAGTTGTCAGTGGAAAAGGGAGGACCCGCCCTCACTCAGCCAATCAGCGCTCTGTATGAAAAAGAGAACAATTTTTTTCTAACAGGTTACTGAAACCAGACATTCTTTAGGGACAGAAAAAAAGTTGATAAAACAACTTGAGTTACTCTAGCTTTTAAACAATCTAAGGTTTTCTTGGATTAGAAACAATAAGCACCAACTATTATTGGACAAAGATGCATTTCTGTTATTTGAGAAAACCTACAGAAAATGATTTGTTAAAGCTGGGGTTCCTCACTTTTTGTTTCTTGAATACATTGTAAGTCATCACCTATTGGTCAGAACAATGTGAAAAGAATTATCTAGAAGAGTAGAAATACTTGTTTGTGCTTGATTTTCACTTTGCAGCCTTTTATGAACAATGCAGCCATTCTCAGACTTTCAGGTTGGGGAACACTGGTTTACGAAACATGTGAACCAAACAGACAACGTTCTTTATCTTATTAGAAAACATGTTATATGCTGCACTTGTACGAAAGAGCCCAATAGGTCACTTGTTGATGCATTGGACTTATATTTTCAATTCTGTCTGAAAAAGCTGGTCTAAAAATGTGGTAGAGGACAATTAATAGGCTAATAAGTTCTTTTTTTTTTTTTAAGCTATAGGAACTAGTGACATGACATTTTTATGACATGGGTATTTTTTGTCCTTTCAAAGGTAGGTCCTCCAGCTTTCAGGATTAATAACTTGCTAGCAACAATTAAAAATACTTAAAAATATGAATGTATAGGCTTGTCCAAGTGCGGCCCTTATCTTGGGCCAAGATCATAAACTTATGTTCAGTGTCTTCCAGCCAACTTCAGCTTAACCAATTTATGCAGGCTGTACCTCGTCATAAGCTCACTTTTGGAATCCATATATATTGACATATGTTTTTGATTTCGTCACAACATTCTGATTATGGCTGTAATGTAGCTGGTGAGAGACACATTATTAGTCTATGTCACCAGCTACAACTTCAGCTCCGTCAATTGTGAATAAACATGGACATGGCACACAGCATTTGAAATCTCAGAACCAGTGAAAACGGTTGTTGGCCCCACAATTTTGCAGAGCTAAAGTGACTTAAAAGGGACACCCCTGATATACATGTTGCCATATTAATATAAAAAAGGGGGACAACATTCCCGCAAATGCGTATTTTCAGTTTTTTGGTTGCAATTTTTACACTTGGTGAATGTAACATTTGTCATGATACTGAACATCCGCCAAAATGAAATGCATTCATAAAATCCAGCAATTGTCATATTTTCAGCACAAGAGAGACTGCGAGATCTCGAGGCCAAAATGGAGAACACAGTGGAGACAATGAACAAACTTTTCCGGGTGCAACTGATGAAAATGCCCCCGTCTCTTAAAAACATGCCCATTTTAGATTTGTTGAGTGGTAAGCCTCGACTGTAATGATAATTTTAGATCTGATACAACACATTCAATCTGTCTTCATGTTTGAAACAGCAGAAGGAACGGCAGCAAGTGATGTGTCCATTGCCATGAAGGTAAGAAGCTAAGCAGGGCAGGGCCTGTTTAGTACTGTGATGGGAGACGTCTGGGAACAACTGGTGCCACAGTGGGATGGGGTGCCAACCTGTTGTTCTGTCCTTGGGCAAGACACTTCACCCACATTGCCTGGAGTGAGTCTGATGTGTGTCTGAAAGGTTGGTGGTGGTTGGAGGGGCCGATCGCACGTACTGGTTGCCTCGCTTCTGTCAGTTTGCCCCAGTTTATCACCACTGACGAATGCATTGCTTAATTCAATGCATGACTTATAATCATTAATAACATTCTGTAGTTGGCCTTTAATCAGTGTGTAACTTAACTTGCAGAATAAAGATCTCGATGTTCACAAACCACCGACAAGAGGAACCAGGAGCAGATGTAAGTAGTGTTTCTGAAAAGCAATAGAGGTAGAATTAATTTAAATGTAAAGTTCCTTCCCAAGCTCACCCCACCGCCATGACGCAGGCTCACACACACACACAGCTGAAGTGAGCGCTTGCGCTAAATGGACAACCACACTCACAGTGCAGCAGTGCGTGATACTATATGCACGTGCATGTACCAGTAAAAATCACACAGGAAAACTAAAACCCTGAATGGTTCCTGCACAGCCTTTAAAAAAGCTCCATCACAAGTTTTGAATTTAGTTTTGGCCTCTTGTCACTAGTCCTGTTCAGATCAGCTTTTTCAGACAGAAAAGTGATCAAGAGAGGACCACTCTCACTCAGCCAATGAGCTCTTCACCCCTTCAATTAATCTTTAATTTTTTTAAGCCCCTTACGCTCCTTTCTATCTAGTTTTATTGTTGGCATTGTACTGTTGTCTATTATGGAAACAACTTTTATTTAGGGCCTGGTTTAAATGTTAGTGTTTACATTGCAAGTGTATTTGTATAGCTCAGTTCTATTCAAGAAAAGATGGAAAAAATCATATCATTAATCATAAATAATCACAGTACAATAAAAAGCATGTTGATACAATCCTTCAGTTGTATGTACGGCTAAACATAAGTGTTAACTTGGATTTGAACACTGTTTTTCCATCTGAAGTAAAGTCCTCTACAGACGATTCTCCTCAGTCGGGCACGTCGGCTGTAAAAGGCAAAGGGACAAAGGTGAGACCATGGTGGAGCTCTGCTGCTTAAATCTCACATTATTATTATTTTTTTTAAAATCTCTTTTAGGGAGGGAAAAATACCAGGAACAGGACGCAGACATTGCCTGCAAGCATCAGCACCGGATCCCTGAGGTAGGATTGTAATTGTATTGAGTAATCTAAAGCCATGCAGTAAAGATTCTGATGCTACCATGTTCCATTTTTGTGTCTAGAACTACCACAGGATCACTGAAGAGAGCGGAAAGTATGAAGAGTGGTCAGAACACAAAAGCAAAGATCAGGTAGTTTTGTATGATAACAAGTCTCTCAAAAGTTATAATTATACAATGTTTTCCCTTTTTACATTTGACTTTTATTGTTTTATAGACATGTTTACTTACTTTATTTAGTTTCATAATGCATTCTATTCGTCTTAACAGAAAGAGTCATGTAAGTGTGAACAAATAGGACCACAACATGCAGTCTTCTCATTATAAAACATCTTTTACATACAGAAGAGTCTCTTTGACCCATTTGGTTGAGGGCTCATTGCTGAATGTGTGGACTATAAAATCTGGTGTTCTGAGTAATCTATTTCCTCCCTATCGAAATGCAAATATGCATGCAATATCGTCACAGCCTTCTTTTGGGAATATCATTAAATGCATTATGAAAGAAAATGTTATGCTTACAAGCGTGTTATCTGATGACATATTTGAGAAAAGTCATCAGTTCTGAGAGGACGTCATGTTTTTGATCTGTTGTGACAATCCAGTAAATGTAATTCCGAGATTGGACTGTGACTAACTTTTGATTGGCTGAGGTAGTTTCTGAATGAATACAATAAACCTAAATTCTAATGTGCAATGTGTATATATATCTAATATTGTAGGTCAGTGGTGTCGACGGGAGACCTGCACCAGTGCTCTGTGGCTGGGACAGTGCCTCACATCACAGTCCTGACCAGAGAGGGCCAGGTAAGTGGATTCTTTGGTAATGCAGAATGATGTATTGAAAGCGGTAATCAAGCATCAAAACTGGCTTAATCCTCCAGTTATTTATTATTTTACTTCACTTAATACAGTGAAAAGTAGAGCTGTGATGGATCAAGGTAATCCCTGGTCAGTGAAAGACCAGTCGATTGATTGATTGATTGGTTGATTTAAAAAAAGATTGATCTGGCTTGAATATAACCTTTTAAATGGATTGTGAACAAATCTCCACGTTGTCCCATAAATTTTCTTCCACTTCATCTGTTGCCGCGTTGCGGGGGCAGCAGTCTAAGCAAAGAAGCCCAGACTTCCCTCTCTCCACACACTTCCTCCAGCTCATCCGTGGGGACCCAGAGCGTTCCCAGGCCAGCTGAGAGACATAGCCCCTCCAGAGTGTTCTGGGTCTTCCCCGGGGCCTCCTCCCGGTGGGATGTGCCTGGAATACCTCACCAGGTAGGCATGGAGAAGCAGCGGCTCTACTCCAAGCTCCTCCCGTGTGACTGAGCTCCTCACCCTATCTCTAAGGGAGCGCTCAGCCACTCTGCGGAGGAAGCTCATTTCGACCGCTTGTATCCGTGATCTCGTTCTTTCGGTCATTACCCAAAGCTCATGACGATAGGTGAGGGAGGGAATGAAGATTGACCGGTAAATTGAGAGCTTTGCCTTTCGGCTCAGCTCCCTCTTTACCACAACGGTCCGATACAGCAACCGCATCACCGATTTGGAGGTGCTGATTCTCATCCCAGCCGCTTCACACTCGGCTGCAAACCGTCCCAGTGCATTTTGCAGGTCCTGGTTCGTTGGAGCCAAAAGGACACTGTCCGCAAACCGGACCCCTTCTGGCCCCTGGCTACGCCGAGATATTCTGTCCATAGACAGTGAATAGAACCGGTAGCCTTGGCGAAGGTCAACACGCACTGGGAGCAGGTCTGACTTATTACGGGCCAAGCGAACGCCGCTCTGGCTCCGATCATACAGGAACTGGGTGGCCCTTAGCAGAGGACCCCCGTACTCCTGGAAAACTCCCCCAAAGGACATTCCTGGGAACAAAATCTTCTCAAAATCCACAAAGCACATGTGGACAGGTTGGGTAAACTCATGAACCATTGAGTATCCGATACCCTTGCCCCATATCCTTAGTCTACTACTGGTAATTATTACAATTGAATTTAGCAGACTAAGACTAAAGACTGACTTACAAGTAAAACGTTTACAACTGTGACCCCTTGTTCCTCCAGTCCGTCTGTTTGTCAGAGGACATGAAAGATGACGCCAACTTGGACCTGCTGGATGATGTCGCGTGGTGCCATATCCAAAGACTCACTGTAAGTTATGTGTTTTTGTTTCGTTGAACTCAACTGAACAATGTTTGTTTTCAGACTTTAATGGATCGTCTTTCAAATCGCTGCCAAAGATGAGCACACATCCTTTTGATTTTAACTTTACAAATTTAAATAAAACATCAGTATTTTATGAATCTTTATTGCGTACATGTTTGCAGAACATGAGATAATTGACATTTAAAGTATAAAAGGAAATTAAAGCTGGTGTAAAATCAGGTACAACTACAATATTATTAAAATCCATCTAAAGCTCTCAGGCCAAAAAGTTAAACAATGGCTCACGGGGGCTCTTAAGTGTGCAAAAGATCACTTTCTAATATCATAGAAAACATGTCAGTGGCTGAGTTGTTAGCGTTTTCTCAGCAAAAGGTCCTAGGTTCGAGTTCACCTCCAGACAGGGCCTTGCTGAGTGGATATGCATTTTTCTCCCTGTGTCTGGTGCTCTGGTTTCCCCTCCCAATAAAAACACATTTACAGTAGCTCAGCCTTCAAAGACATTCTGAAATCTGTGGGACTAAGGTCAATTAAAAATTGGACCACAAAATTCTGCGTTTAAAACTTCTTTCAATCGGAATGAACAAAACCTACGCATAAATACAAAAATTAGGTACCCAAGCTTTAGATGTAGCACAGAGAAAATCTAGTGGTGTTTTGACTGTAAGGGTTCCATCTCAACCTGTGGAGATGAACCTGAATTCGAAGCCCCATCGTATTCCGGAGCCATGCGAGGATAAAACGGCCCGACGAGCCAATTGAGCGGCGTGTTATTGACCAAATAGTCCATAACGTTGTCGAGAGAATCCTTCATTTTCCCGAGCTGCACCCTGCTGTTCGACAACACCCCGTCCGACAGATCGCCTAACGCTTGAGCCTTGTTGAAGCTAGAGTAGACTTGAGAGGCTGAGTGGCTGAGGGAGAGCGCCTCCTGCTGGATGTGGCTGGGAAGACCCTGCAGACCTGATGCAAGGCCCTGGCAAGTGGTCTGGAGCTGGTGTGTGAGAGAACGTGCCATGGTCAACGTCCGGGATTCGATTACCTGCAATAAACAAAAGCAGATATTAAATTTTGTGTACTGTTGAATTCTTTGTATTTTATTTTTTCCCCCCTCACTTCTGTCTTGTGGATCTGCTCCGTTTGACCATCGGACTTCCACAACGCCATAGATCCCAGTTTGTCCTTTACCATCTGGTTGGCCCCATCAATATTCTTTCTGCCACGTTCTATCTACAAGGGGGAAAAAAATATTTCCCAAAACATTATGCGTTTGCCCAAACAATTTCAAACTTAATTAAAGCTGGGGTTTGAACAAACTACAATATGCTCTCTTGTTTGTCTCTAACTGTGGACTGAGAGGCAAGGCAAGTTGTGTGTATAGCACAGTTGATGCACAAGGTCACTCAAAGGGCCGGACAAAACTAGACTATCACAAAAGTTATCACAGTACATTAAAATGGAGAAGATACAATCCTTCTGTTGTATGCAAAGCTAAACAGGTCTGTTTAACCTGGATTTGAACATTGTCAGGAGCCTGTCTCACATTTTCAGGAAGACTGGTCCAGATTTTATCTGCATAAATCTGAAATGCTGACTCCCCATTTTTAGTAACACTGGGCTCCAGCAGGAGACAAGTATGCAAAAGATGTTTTATAATAAAAGGAAGACTGCATGAGATGGTCTGCTGATTTATTTTTTACAAAAATTACATTTTGTATCCTCTTTCAAGAAAATGCATTTCTGACAAAGGTAAATGCCCCAGCTTTATCCAAATGCAATCTTGATAAAACGTGAACTCACCACATCAACAGTAGAGTTCAGAGCTGAAATAAACTCCAGGCTACGTTGTTTTCCGTCCAGAATTCTGGCCACAGCTCTGGTGTAGACGCGCTTTCTGAGTTTGGTCGACACTGAGCCGAGACGGACGTAGTAACTGGGGTCATTCTTGTCAAATCCTTCCACAGTTTTATCCTCCAGTTCTGAAAAGCATGAAGAGAATTAGACAAAAGGTCACTGGCCATTTGGTTTTTAATCTCCCCACAACCGTGGGAGATTTAACTTTTTATTATAATTATGTGTTAAAATACGTCAGTTTAGACATTTTGTATAAGCAGGTCACCAATGGGTTGCATTCATGTGACATCACATTCCAAAGAGCTTCTAGTTTAAGATGGTGGAGCGCATCTGGAACATTTATTGATATTTCAGAAATCACTGGGGCAATCCACATGAGACAAAAAATAGCCCTGCTTGTTGTGTGTCTGTTGCGCTTTAGTATCTAGTACTGCAGTGCATCCTACCCACAAGTATTCAGGGAAATGTCCATCAGTGCTCTGACCAATCACTGTCAGCTAGAACACTTAAGTACCAGCTCTGCCTGGATAGAACCAGGGCCAAGCAGGTACTTGGCCTGGTATTATAAAAGTAGCATAGCGTAGGGCCAAGAGGGCTGGTGGAAACGGGTTATGTGTTATATACCAATGTCAGTACACATCAACTATGGTCTAGTTATTTTCTCTCAAACGTCTAGATATTCAAACTAAAAAACATGCATGATGTTGGCCAGAAGAAACTTTCAGACATAATGGGGTCAGTATGTAAAAGATTAAATGTTTTCTAATAAGATTAACTGCATGTTACATAAAGCTGGGGTACTTAACACAGTATACTGTAACAAATCAGACCACGTAATGTGGTTGTCTTACAAGAAAACATTAAATCTTTTGGCGTAGCTACAAGCCTGGTTTGAAAGCTTGTTCCCACATCTTTAAACTTCTCAAAACTAAATGCATTTAAAGCAGGATATGTTTATGAACTCACCCAGCTCGTCCGCCGTCAGGGGGAGGTACTGCTCCACCAGATTCTCGGACGTGCTCAAGGCCTGGTCCACTCCACTGGTCACGAGTCTGGCCATTCTGCTCTCCAGGACTGTGCTCACGCTGTCGTTGACCACGGCCTTGGTCTTCTCCATCCCATCATGCACTGCTCCCCTGGTCCTCTCCACCACCGTGTTCAAAGTGTCCGACACAGAGTCTTTGGCTCCGGACACAGTTCCAGTTACTACATCCTTGGCACTGGTCACTGCGTCTTTAGCGGTGGACACAATCTGGGCAGACACATGTGGATTCTTGTGAATTATGGGTCATTTCTGAAGTACAAGTTGTTCTCCACGTATATTGTTCGATCCCGTGTGAGATAATTTTACATGCCCAGACACATTGTAAGAGATTTGTCACTCATTTGTTAGTAGTGCTTGTTTGTAGGTGACTAAATACTTATACGATGAGCGATATCTAATTTTAATAAGTGGGAGGACATGCCAAATTGGTGGCTGACCTTTTTCTATGCAAATATTTTCAAATCCAATAAACTCATTCTGACCCTCATTAGAAGTGTCCATCCCCTCAGCTCTCATTGCTGTGTATTGCACATACACAGCATGTATTTTTTTTTTTTTCAAGCGAGGATATCTGATTGTAAAGCTGACCATTTTTCTTGGTGAAAACACTCAGTTCCTATGAATTCCTGGGCCGCCTTGCATGAACTGCATATTAGAGATCTCCCCACAGTGGCTCAATTATTAAAACCCGTACTAGTTTGTGTGTCACATAACAATGAGTCAAAAAAAATCTAAAAATGTGGCCAAAATGAACTCAAGCACGACTGCATAACAGACCAGTACATACCTGCTCAGACGGCTGGTGAAGAATCGGCAATGTTTTCTCAATCCTATCCAATCCTTTGCAGGCCAGACCGTTGGCAATGGCAACTGAACGAGAGGTGGAGGGGGATAATCAGATTGTGAAATAAGCAGTCAGTTATTTGGAATGAGTCAGCTCGCAGTGCTCCTAAATGGAGGAAAGGTCAGTGTTTGTCTGCTCCACTCATGTGACTCATCTGTCACTTTGAGTTTGGGTTTCTTGGTTTGTACTTTTCATGAATCTATAGTAATTATAAATCTAAAATATTGAATAAACATGTAAAAGAACTATCAAGACTAGATTCTCTTGAGTGAGATTTTTTTTTTATGACTTTGATCTGAGGTAGAATGAACCCTTTTAGTACCATTGAAGTACTATAACAATGTATTGTACATGTTTTTATAATTTCTGATATCACCATGGTATAAAAATTGGTGTACAGAATTGAGTATTTCCTAGTAATGTGGCAAGACTAATACCTAAACGGACCAGAATTAATCATTTTATTGGATATGCTGTCTCCCTTCCCAAGATTTAACTTCATTCTTTTAAATCCAGCTCATATTTAACTATATAACTACTACTAATGAAAAGACAGTCACCCTAGCTACACCCTTTACCACACAATACGCCGATTAGCCTAATCTAATTCCAGTTCATTCAGGTTTATATTCATGAACTTTGCTCTTTCAGCTTTTGGTGACAGGTCGTTTGACTGTAAATTAGTATCGACTGGGTTTCATCTTTATCGCTGTAACTCACTCTGCGGTTCCAGCTTGTCCAGGATGGGGGAGGCGGTGTTGAGGGCCACGGAGGTGATGCTTCGCACTCCCTGCTCGGCCACTTCGCACACAGTTTTCAGATAGGGGTGGTTGTCTTTGGTGGTGGAGTACACGCTGGACACGAGGCCGTACGTGGAGCTGACCAGAGGAAGGCTGACCACCCTCTCTACCACGCTCTGGGGACAAAAATAGCGTTAATCCAAGCTAAAATACCATAAAAGCTATGACATTTGGAAATAATTCATAGTTGTATCAGTGTAAAAATGTGAAATTGTGTTCTACAGGTTTGAAATACATCTAGCGAACTATGCAATCTTTAAAGCTGGGGTACAGAACTTTCTTTTTTTGTATCAAAACAAAGTCTGTAAAAGTAAAAGGTTCAAGAAATCAGACCACAACATGCTGTATCTTTTGCAAACTTGTAATATGGGTCTTTTATAATACTGCGTCTGTAGTATCCCGTACCTTTCCACTTGATGTTTTGGTTTTCTGACAGTAGAAGCAATTATCTACTGGTGACGCAGCAGACGCCAAAGAGAGCTTCCATATTTTTATAGATGGCCAATTCGCAGAGAAGCTACTTATAATGTTGCTTCCTGTGTGCTCAATTACTGTCCTGTATGTGCGCTGCAACATTGAAATTTCCCCATTGTGGGATGAATAAAAGTTATCTTATCTTGGTATAAAACCATGTGAGCACTGTGAATCTGGTGTCACTTGCGCTATGTGTGTACTGACAATACAAATGTCTTCTGGTGTGACACAATCTCAGATCTCTACATCTCTGGTCATTTTCCTCAGCTAAATATCTGCAGTACTTTATTTTTTATTTTTTCTGAACAACTTAAACATTGAGAAGTAAATAATTAATGTGAACCAGTATAATATATATGAGTCTTAATAGCCTTGTATAGAGTTTGAACACCAATATGTAACAACAGAATACCTCACCTGGTTATAGATTACATCTGCTGTCGCCATTTTCTGTTAGATTCTTCTCTTTATTGTAGAAATATGCACTAGTTCTGCAACAAAGTAACATTATTGGGTTAGTTAATTTATGTATTTATTTGAGTATCTGTTATAAAACACATGCAAGACATTCAATTCACTGTGTCTCTCAGAAGCAATTGTGATACATGGCAAGGCAAGGCAAGGCAAGTTTATTTATATAGCACAATTCATACACAAGGCAATTCAAAGTGCTGAACAAAACAAGAAAGCATTAAAATCATAAATTATCACAGAACATTAAAAAGAAAGATAAAAATATAAAATCCCTCAGTTGTATGCACAGTTAAACAGAACCGTCTTTAACCTGGTTTTAAACATTGTCAGAGAGGAGGCCTGTCTCACATCTTCAGGAAGACTGTTCCAGATTTTAGCAGCATTAATCTGAAAAGCAGCCTCCCCATGTTTAGTTCTGACTCTGGGCACTAACAGGAGTCCAGTCCCTGTGCTCCTCAGAGTCCGGGCTGGTTCATATGGGACTAACATGTCACTAATATATTTTGGTGCGAGGCTATGGAGAGACTTGTACACAAGCAGAGCTGTTTTAAAGTCTATTCTCTGAGCCACAGGAAGCCAGTGCAGAGACCTGAGGACTGGACTAATGTGGTCGTACTTCCTGGTTCTTGTCAGGACTCGAGCTGCTGCATTTTGAATGTACTGCAGCTGTTTTACAGCCTGTTTGGACAGACCTGTGAGCAGGCCATTGCAGTAGTCTAACCTACTGGAGACAAATGCATGGATAAGAATCTCCAAGTCTGCTTTAGACACTATGTTTTTGATCCTGGCAATGTTTTTTAGATGGTAAAAAGCTGCTGATGTTACTGATTTGATGTGGCTATTAAAATTTAAGTCTGAGTCCAGTATTACCCCTAGATTTCTGACCTTGTTTGAAGGTTTTAGGGAGAGAGACTGGAGGTGACAGATGACGCTCTCTCTTTGTTTCTGGGGACCAAAGACAATCATTTCAGTTTTGTCTGCGTTTAGCTGAAGGAAGTTGTTTTGCATCCACTCACTGATCTGTTGGATACAGTGAAGGAGTGAGTCCACTGGTCCATGTTCTCCTGCAGTCAGTGAGACATAGATCTGAGTGTCGTCTGCATAGTTATGATAGGAAACTTTGTTTCTGCGTATTAACTGACCTAACGGCAGCATGTAGAGATTGAACAGAAGAGGTCCCAGGATCGACCCCTGTGGGACTCCACAGGTCAGGGCCATATGATCTGAGACACAGTTTCCAATCTCCACAAAGTACTTCCTGTCTTCAAGGTAAGACCTAAACCAACTTAGGGCGGTGCCAGTGACGCCAACCCAGTCCTCTAGTCTCTGTAAGAGGATCTCATGGTCGACGGTGTCAAAGGCAGCACTTAGATCTAACAAGATTAAGATTGAGACTTTGCCTGCGTCAGTGTTCAGCCGGATATCGTTTGTAACCTTAACGAGAGCAGTCTCAGTGCTGTGGTGGGGTCTAAAGCCGGACTGAAACATATCAAATGAGTTGTTGATTATAAGAAATCTAGTAAGCTGTAGGTAGACAACTTTCTCAAGGACTTTCCCCATAAATGGCAGATTTGAGATGGGACGATAGTTGTTAAGTACAGTGGCATCCAGACTGCTCTTTTTTAGCAGGGGCCTGATGACTGCAGTTTTCAGGGCCTTTGGGAATATTCCAGAATGAAGGGACATGTTTACTATCTGTGTGAGTGAAGGTAACAGACTGCTCAGAACAGACTTCAGAAATCTAGTGGGTAGTACATCCAGGCTGCATGTGGAGGAGCTCAAACTGGAGATTATCTCTTGGACAGTTTTATCATTTACAGGTGCAAAGTGAGTTAGCTCAGAGAGCCTTTCTGGCTGTTGGATGGTTATCTGTGGATTGGAGACAATGGCGCTTTTGATGCCTTGAACCTTGTCATTGAAAAAATTAGCAAACTCATTGCATTTACGTTTGGAAGTAAGCTCTAGTGGCATTTGAACAGGGGGGTTTGTTAATCTATTAACTGTTGAGAACAGAACACGCAGATTGTTGCTGCAGCCTTCAATCATTTCAGAAAAATACCTTTCTCTCGTACTACGTAGCACCCGGTTAAACTCGCACAACTTATCTTTGAAGATCTCGTAATCTACCTGGAGGTTGGACTTGCGCCACTTCCGCTCGGCCCTCCGGCACTTTCTCTTTTGTGCCCTGACCGAGTCTGCTTTAGCCCACGGCGCCTTCTGCTTATTTTTCACTATTTTAACCTTCACAGGGGCAACGGTATCCAGAACATTCAAAACACTAGAGGTGACAGAGTTAAACAGTTCATCTACAGTAGAATACGATGCATTCTCAAAGTTTATCATTTCCATAAATAGTTCACTCGTATTTTCATTTATGCGCCTTCTTCGAACAGTTGCAGAGTCCACTGGTGGTTTGTTAGTGAAACACATGTCAAAAAAAACACAGAAATGATCCGAAAGAGCAACATCGACCACGTTTACATTTGAAATAATCACCCCCTTTGTAACTAACAGATCTAGAGTGTGCCCTCTGCTGTGGGTGGGGCCACTTACGTGCTGAGTGAGATCAAAGGATTCAAGTACAGAACTCAGCTCATTTGCATTTCTGTCATCAACATTATCCACATGAATATTAAAATCACCTGTAATAACCAAACTATCAAAATCTGTGCATACAACTGAAAGCAACTCGGTAAAATGATCAATAAAACTGTGACATGACTGCGGTGGCTTGTATAGGACAACGAAGAGTATTGGAGGAGATTGTTTTTGTTGTATTTTAAAAGACACATATTCAAATGACGAAAACTTCCCAAGAGACATTCTATGGGAGACAAAGTGGTCTCTAAAAATGGCATGCACTAAGAAGCCTTAGTGGGAGGGAGTTTAAATTTAAATTTTTTTTTTTTTTTTTTCAGCTCAATTAACGTGTAATTTAATGCCACAAATTGAAATACAGCAACTCTAAACAATTTTAGATGCCCTCCCTTACATTAAATGAGGACTAGATCTGTGTAGGTCATGGTTGTCCAAACTTTTAGTAAGACAATTAGTTCACCAGTTTTAATTGGATAGGGCTTTAAAGCTGGGGTACAGAACTTTCTTTTTTTGTATCAAAACAAAGTCTGTAAAAGTAAAAGGTTCAAGAAATCAGACCACAACATGCTGTATCTTTTGCATACTTGTAATATGGATCTTTTATAATACTGCGTCTGTAGTATCCCGTACTTTTCCACTTGATGTTTTGGTTTTCTGACAGTAGAAGCAATTATCTACTGGTGACGCAGCAGACGCCAAAGAGAGCTTCCATATTTTTATAGATGGCCAATTCGCAGAGAAGCTACTTATAATGTTGCTTCCTGTGTGCTCAATTACTGTCCTGTATGTGCGCTGCAACATTGAAATTTCCCCATTGTGGGATGAATAAAAGTTATCTTATCTTGGTATAAAACCATGTGAGCACTGTGAATCTGGTGTCACTTGCGCTATGTGTGTACTGACAATACAAATGTCTTCTGGTGTGACACAATCTCAGATCTCTACATCTCTGGTCATTTTCCTCAGCTAAATATCTGCAGTACTTTATTTTTATTTTTTCTGAAACACATGCAACATACACTGTCTATAATGCTTTAAAATGCCTTATGATCGTCCAAAATGAGAATTTTTGAGCGGAAAAATCACGTAAGTATCGTAAAGTTTTCACCGTATACAAGACAAAAGAGAAAGTTACCAGAGACAGACGCGGTGGAGGACGCTCAGATCGTCGCGTTTGTTGTTTGTTGTTTGTTGCTTGTTGCTTGAAACTGAAATATCATGAATGACTGTGGGCTCCTTACTTTATATACCGAGTCACGATCGCGGGACGAGTGACGCAAAGTGACGCACACGCACAGTAGAGCAAAGGTGACGCATGAGGTGATGGGGTCGAGAGTCCAGGAAGTGGCTCTGAATGAACAGTCCTTCATCAGTCCATCACGTGGTCCACTGATCACAGGTACAATGGCTTTTGTTGTTCTAAGCTTATGTCCTGTTTGTGGCAAATAAGAAGATTAGGAAACTGAATTAATTCTCTCAGCAGGAAAAACAATGCTTTAGTGTCCCCCAATTGGCTTAAGCGTTATGTCTACGTTTTATTTTTATCATTTGCAAAGTTTTAAGTAGTAAAAACTGCCCGATAGATAATATAATATGGTTTTAGCTCTGGTGTGACTCTAGTTTGACACTATAACTCCCAGAACAGTCATTTTTCCTAGCTTTGCGGCGTTTTCTGTATATGTAGTTTATTTTTAAAAGTGAGTTAAGGTGAAAGTCTTGTCATTTACTTTCTTTTAATAAAACTAGCTTTCTATTTAAAAAAAAGTAAAATAAAATAAAAAAAACTTCCATTGATTTTAAAAGGAGAAGTCAAAATTACTTCTCAGGGAGTTTTAGGGAGTTAAAGCTTTTCTCTGTAAATGTTACATGTTGTTTGTCCCAATACAGAAAGAGTCTTGTATAAGTAAAATTAGACCACAATATGGTGAAAATATGTCATACTTCCATACTTGTAAGACAGACCCTCTTGACTCACGATTTGACTCTTCTGGCTTTTGAGATGATTGGTTGAGGGAGGGTGGTCCTCTCTTTTTCACTTTTTTTGTCTGAAAATTCTGATCTGAAAGCTGTGACAGAGGCCAAAAAAATACATGAATTGAATGTTTGTGGTTTGAAAGTTAGGTACTTCATCTTTCTTTTTTGGGCATAAACATTGACAATAAGAATGATAGGGTATTTCAGTGTTGTACAAAAAGTCAGTGCCTAAAACAGAAATACAGTTGTTTACAGTAAGTAATAGAAATGACTATAGGCCTAATATTCTCATTCACAAGACATTTCCAGCTTTCATTCTTGGAACACACAGATATTTAACTACTGCTCTTTTCCCTCTCATAGGTTCCACGTGCAGCAGACTTTGATTTGACGACATGTTT